GAGCAAGGGGCCTATGAGGGTTTTCCTCAAGTCTTACCATCGAATGAAGTCTGTTGGCCCTGTTAGGTTTGTCTTGCTTGGGACCTAGGCCCTTTCCTTCTGCTTTCTCCCTTCCAGAGTAGAACTGTCTACCCTCCATCTGTCCCACCTGAAAGCAGAATAGTCTGGTTTGATAGGTTCACAGATGAAAAGGACTTTTGCTCCAGCATGAACCATACACCAAGTCTAACCAATAATTGATTTGAATGAGTTAGATGATTTTGAGTTGTTTAGATGAATATTGGCCTTCGTGTGGATGCTGAATTATTGACTGGTATATGGTGGGATGGGGTGATATTTTGCATGTGAGAATAGAATTTTTAGGGGCCACAGAACTGACTGCAATGGATTTGCCTTTCCACCAAATGAGAGATTTTGAAGTCCTAATGTCTGGTACCTTGGAATGTGACCTTTTTTGGAAACAGGGTTTTTCGACGTAAGCAAGTTAAAATGAGGTCATCAGGGTGTGCCCTAATCCAGTATGACTCTGGTGTCCTTATAAAGATGGGACACACACACAGGGGGGTAGACACAAAGAGGGGGGGACACCATGCTAAGACAGAAGGCAGAGAATGCAGCTGTCAGCACGAGCCACAGACAATCTGGGGCCACCGAGAGCTTGAAGGAGTGGAGACTTCCCTGCACTTTCACAGGAACATGGCCCTGAGGACACCTTGATTTTGAACTTCTAGCCTCCAAAGTTGACAAATTTGATGTTATAAGCTACTAGCCCAACTGTGGTACTTAGTTACATAACCCCATTGTTGAACATAACCTCAATTTGGGGCTTTTATAGCTATAGTAGAGGCCCGGGGCATGGACTTGTGCACTGGTGGGGTCCCTTGGCCTGGCTTGCGGGGATCGGGCCAAAACCGGCTCTCCGACATCCCCCGAGGGGTCCCAGATTGTGAGAGGGTGCAGGCCAGGCCGAGGGACCCCACCAGTTCATGAATCAATGCACTGGGCCTCTAGTATGCATATAAGATCTTTGGTTAATCTCTTCCTGCCTTCCCCTCTCCCCCCTTCCCTCTGAGATCCATCAGTCTGTTCCATGTTTCCACGCTTGTGGTTTCTGCTCGTGCGTTGAGCATCTGCCCCCTGGTGGTCAGTGCATGTCATAGATACTGGCCAGTCAGTCGCTTAGGTTTTTATATATATTAGCTCTATCTTTTTTTTTTAATATATTTTTTATTGATTAAGATATTACATATGTGTCCTTGTCCCCACGTTACCCTCTACCCCCCCACCCCCCCCGCTCATGCCCTCACCACCCCCCCCCGTTGTCCATGTCCATTGATTAGGCCTATATGCTTGCATATAAGTCCTTTGGTTGATCTTTCCCCCTTACCCCCACCCTCCCCTACCTTCCCTCCAAGTCCCGACAGTCCAATCAATGCCTCTCCATCTCTGGATCAGTCCTTGTTCATCAGCTTATGTTGTTCATTATATTCCACAAATGAGTGAGATCATGTGGTATTTATCCGCTCTCCAGTTCCATCCATGCTGTGGCAAATGGTAAGAGTTCCTCTTTCTTCTTCCTCTTCTTAAAGAATACCTTTCAGCATTTCGTATAATGCTGGTTTGGTGGTGATGAACTCCTTTAGCTTTTTCTTATCCGTGAAGCTCTTTATCTGACCTTCTATTCTGAATGATAGCTTTGCTGGATAAAGTAATCTTGGTTGCAGGTTCTTGCTATTCATCACTTTGAATATTTCTTGCCACTCTCTTCTGGCCTGCATGGTTTCTGTTGAGAAATCAGCTGACAGTCGTATGGGTACTCCCATGTAGGTAACTGACTGTCTTTCTCTTGCTGCTTTTAAGATTCTCTCTTTATCTTTTGCTCTTGGCATTTTAATTCTGATGTGTCTTGGTGTGGTCCTCTTTGGATTCCTTTTGTTTGGGGTTCTCTGCGCTTCCTGGACTTGTAAGTCCATTTCTTTCACCAGGTAGGGGAAGTTTTCTGTCATTATTTCTTCAAAAAGGTTTTCAATATCTTGCCCTCTCTCTCCTTCTGGTACCCCTATAATTCTGATGTTGGTACGCTTGAAGTTGTCCCAGAGGTTCCTTACACTATCTTCATATTTTTGGAATCTCTTTTCTTTTTTCTTTTTCGGTTGGGTATTTTTTGTTTCTTTGTATTTCAAATCTTTGACTTGATTCTTGGGATCCTCTTGTCTGCTGCTGGATCTCTGTAAATTATTCTTTATTTCAGTCAGTGTATGCTTAATTTCTAGTTGGTCCTTTTTCATATCCTCCATGGTCTCACTATACTTATTGAGGGATTCATTAAATTTATCGGCAGTTTCCATAAAATTCTTGAAAAACCTTATAAACGTGGCCTTGAACTCTATATCCAATCGTTTGCTTTCCTCCATTTCTGCCATTTGTGACCTGTTTGTCTCCGCATTTTGGCAGCTTCCCTGTGTTGATAGAGTGGCCCTGCGCGCCAGGTGTCCTGTAGGGCCCAGTAGCTCAGCCTCCCCAGTTACCTGGGGTGGACACTCTTGGTGCCTTGGTTGTTGTAGAATCACTGGGAGGAATTGACCTCCAGGCCAATTGGCTGTGAGAATCAGCTGTGTCTAGAGTGGGAGAACTTCTGTGCTGAAGACACCCTTCTGGGGCAAGACTTGCTTCAGTGGGGCTTTGGTGCTCACTGAGTCTGCTCCCTGAGTGTGTCCCTTATGGATCTGAGGAGTTGCAGTCTGGATGGTCCCCCTCTGACCACTGGGTACAGTGGCTCCTGGATCTAAGGAGCAGCCTCTGCCTGAGGCCACACAGCAGGAGCCACGAAGAGGCTCAGCTGTGAAGCAATGCAAGCCGCTGGGGGGCCTTGGGCCTTCTCTTGGAAGTTCCGGGTCTGCCTGGCTCGGCTGCAGTTAGGTACATTCACATGCAAAAGCCTCTGCCGCAGCCTGGGTGGGGCGGGGTCTCAGGGAATCAAAGGGCGGATCAAGCAGCTACGGCTGATTCTCCGCCCGGAGTCGCGGGTCTCAGTGACCCGCTAATTGCTGCAAGCACCTCTGAGGGAAAGCCGCCTTCAAGTTCGCCCGCTGCCGGACAGACCAGCTTCTCCCCGTATGAGACCTGGGTCCCCAGAGACTTCCCGGAACCGGAGTTCAGAGCAGTCGGGAGCTTGTGATTCAAAAAGACAGCCGCGTCCTCAGGTGCCACCCCCGTTCCTCGCGCGCGCGAGCCGCCGTACCTCTGCACTTCACCTCCACAGCGCCTCTGGCTCTCAGCGTGCTTTTCTTTCCTTCTAGTTGTAGAATTTACACTCAGCCAGCCTTTCTGTTGTTCTGGATGATGTTTGCTCAGTCCTTTGCGGTAATTTTCAATTGTTGTGTGAGGCGACAATTTCCCGGTGTTCACCTATGCCGCCATCTTAGTTTCTCTGTATATTAGCTCTATCTTAAGCACAATTGCAATCATTGCCACAGAATTCATGGATACAGAATTGCTGGGTCAGAAAACATACAAGATTCTGAGGCTTTTGTCTTGCATTGCTAAGTTGCCCTCTATATGAAAGTATTAATTTAAATGATCTCTTGGTAACAGAATATTTAATTTTGGGTGGTGGGCACCCGGTGTAATATACAGATCTTGTAACACAGAAACCCACACCTAAAACCTAAATTTTTTTTTTTTAATATATATATTTTTTATTGATTTTTTACAGAGAGGAAGGGAGAGAGATAGAGAGTTAGAAACATCGATGAGAGAGAAACATCAATCAGCTGCCTCCTGCACATCTCCTACTGGGGATGTGCCCGCAACCCAGGTACGTGCCCTTGACCGGAATCGAACCTGGGACCCCTCAGTCCGCAGGCCGACGCTCTATCCACTGAGCCAAACCGGTTTCGGCTAAAACCTAAATGTTTATGTTGACCAATGTCACCCCATCAATTTAGTAAATAAATATAAAAAGAATAATTTAAATGATCTCCAATACTGTGGGAACACCCATTCCTTACATTTTGACTAAGTAGGCTTTGTTCATGCTATTTTTTTAAAAAAATATATTTTATTTTACCAATGTCACCCCATCAATTTAGTAAATAAATATAAAAAGAATAATTTAAATGATCTCCAATACTGTGGGAACACCCATTCCTTACATTTTGACTAAGTAGGCTTTGTTCATGCTATTTTTTTAAAAAAATATATTTTATTGATTTTTCACAGAGAGGAAGGGAGAGAGATAGAGAGTTAGAAACATCGATGGGAGAGAAACATCGATCAGCCGCCTCCTGCACATCTCCCACTGGGGATGTGCCCGCAACCAAGGTACATGCCTTGGCTGGAATCGAACTTGGGACCCTTGAGTCCGCAGGCCAACGCTCTATCCACTGAGCCAAACCGGTTTCGGCATCATGCTATTTTTAAAAAGTGTACCTTGTTTTTAAAAGAGCAGTTCAGCTGAGTGCTGAAGAGCCCTTGTAACAAGCCCTTAGGCCAGGGGTGGGCAAACTTTTTGACTCGAGGGCCACAATGGGTTCTTAAACTGGACCGGAGGGCCGGAACAAAAGCATGGATGGAGTGTTTGTGTGAACTAATATAAATTCAAAGTAAACATCATTACATAAAAGGGTACGGTCTTTTTTTTTTTAGTTTATTCATTTCAAACGGGCCGGATCCGGCCCGCGGGCCGTAGTTTGCCCACAGCTGCCTTAGACTCTACACTGTTGCTTGGCTGTGAAGCTATGCCCAAGACCTGTGAGTTTCAAAGGCAGTGTTTATGCTATGCTTCATCACTGTTAATTTCTGACTTGGGTAATCAAAGTGTCCAGAAAAAGATATGCCAGAGCCTGGTGGGTAGGACTTCACAGATGTATATCCTGGCAAGATTTAGTTGCAATGTTTCTAGGTTAGTCTGTGCTTGGTATCCTAGAAAGTGATCAACTCAGGCAAAGAAGGAATAAGAGGGAACACACTGCATCCAAGAACAGATTTGGACAAACCAATCACAGTGGAAATAAATATTAGCTTTATTAACACTCAGAGTGCCATTCATTTATATTCCATAACCCAGGTTACTTAGAGTAACCCTTTGCACCACAATCTTTCAAATGAATTAACATGTTAAAAAAAAAAAGCAATTTCATTGTGCTAATTATTGCAGCCTTCATGCATGATAAATCTAAAAAAAAATGTGTGCCAACAATATACAAATTTCCATATAAACAAAGTCACTGATCACTAACAAAATATAAACATGGTTTCTTTCACATTAGATTTTTAAAAAGCTATTTATCAGCAAGAAAAACAAATACATAAAAACTCTGAAATTTTATACATTTTTACAAGCACAACTTTCAATGAACAACACAAAGTCAAAATATGCATGAAATGTGGCACATACCACGCTGTATCTGGCTTCTGGGAGGTTTTAATCATACTGGCTCTTGTAACATAATAAGCTTAGTGACATTCAACTTCAACAGTGGACTGTATTCCTAACACAAGTAATTTTACATGGTACCGCATACTAAAAACAAGGATTTCCTTAAGTACAATAACATTGTCAGATTGGAAATTTAATTTCCAATTCTTTTTCTGCCAGTTACTTAGCATACAGAGTACAGTACAAAGACATTCAATGTATGTTTGGACATTTCTGGACCAATTTATAGTCAATTGCAGAGAATCATAAATGAGGTCTGACCTTGCCCAGTGAGGAAAAAACCTGTTAACATCTTTAGGGTAGGATAAAGGAAACCGTCAACAACAGTAGGACCAGCCAAGAGAGCCTGGAGACAGAAAAGTCTCCGCATCTTTTCAAGACGAGTTAGTTCTCAGTTTTTTCATAGCTCTGAGGACTCAAAGGCCATTTTAGTGGGCAGTGTGTTTTTGCTACTGCTTACGATCTCCTTTTTCCTCTGAATTTGCACTTCAGAGAATTCTCAAAAGAGAACCGAAGCTCTTCCTCCCAGGAGTACTTTACTTACATCTAAGTAAACTTGTGTCTAATTCTGGAAATACAAACGTGTTGTGAATGGTTAAAAACAAAATTTTAAAAATATTTTAGATCAGCCAGCTGAAAATATATTCATATAGTAAATAATCTCTCAGAAAGTTTTTACATATATTTAATTCTAACTAAACAGTACCCTTATAAAAAACAAGTTCATAAAAATGTAGAAACAAATGAAAACAAGAAATTACTGGAATATATAAATGTGCCTACAGACAGACAGACAGACATCTCCACACACAACATCCCCTGATACATGGAGTTGCAAGCATACTTTCAACTTAGTCATGGATTTTAAGATACATATAAAATCAGAAAGTGAGTTGAACTCCTGAGTTCTTCGACAAAGAGAGAACCAAGATGAGCATACGCTGTAAAAGCAGTAAGGTCCGTGTAAGTCTGTGACAGCAGTGCAGTTACTGATGGCCACATGTTGAAAGAAGTTAAAACAGAGACACAGACAGTAGTTCATTGCACACATTCATGATGCTCATACACACATCAACAATTATTGGTCAAAGCAGTACATCAGTGTACAAATTAAAAACTTCCAAAAATGTGCAAAGTCAACCTTGATAGGAAAAAAACATTATTATTTGTACATTATTATAAACTGCCCAGCATTCAACTGAGATTAAAATTTTTTACAGAGAGAAACTAATAGGTTAAATATAAAGAATTTAATGGCTACATTAAAAAATGTACATTAGGCCAAAAGGTAAATTACAAATTGATAATCATAGTTTGTAACAAAGTTTATTCTCAAACTTATCCAAGTTTACTTTTATTTATGATGATATTTGAATAAAAAGAACCATGTGAAATGTAAGAGATGTCAGACATTAAAAGTATTCTTGGTATTAACTATTTTATAATATTTCTGAATGCAGAGTAGCAAATTTTAAAACCAACAGCAATAGAAAAAATGTAAACCTTTTACTAATTAACATTGTATTAAAAACAATCATGTTTTTAAAGAAGCATTCTTACCCTTAGACACGGTGCTTTTGCTTGAATAGGGTATATTGCAAGGTTTGGCCCACTTTCCCACTTCCTTTCGCCCATAAGCCTTTTCATCTCAGTGTTTCCCTTCTTATTCCAGGTGGGGGGGAAAGTCTTTGGAAAAATTAGAATATGTCAAATGTCTTTTGGAGTCTAAGTATCTACTAGAATTTAAGATGTAATTTTGTTACTTATCTCTCTCCTCTAAGTAATGCTAATGCTAAAATCACCACTAGTTACATATGCTTTTAAAATTTAAATTCTAAAAAAATAAATGAACCTAAAAGTGCTTTCACTACAATCACAAACTTTACTGTTCTCAACTGTCATTAAAGGACTCAGATATTCTTATTTGTGGACAAATGCTGCATGTAAACTGGAATGCAGACTCTTTTTATGTTCCAAAGTGTCTATGGCACAAAGCAGACATCGGACTATAATTTGCATTTCTTTACAGCTTTCCTTGTATGTCTCCCAAGTCAATCATAAGTTCCTAAATGTTAAGACACTAAAAGAAAGTACACTTCCAACCTCAGGCATCGCTAGTCAAAGTATCTATGGCCAGCTGATGTTAAGGAGCTCGGCAGGTGTACACAGGCTCAGGTCTGCAATGCCTCAGGTCTGCAATGCCGTAATAGCTGAAGTAAATTCTGCTGCCTAAGTGCAAACACTGAGCGCCTCTCCTTTTACCTGACGATAGACTGAAATGCAGATTCTACTAGTATCTACTTTATCATTTTTATCCCATTAGCTTACAGGTGGGCAGAAGTAACGGTGCTAATCATTTTGGCAATGTGTGCAGGGAATATAAAAGCTTTGGTTTAAAGTGATTCTGATATTGCAGATTGTGAATGCAAACAAGAGTAATCAGGCATAGGGAATAACAGGACTCACTAATTTAATGCCTTTGCTGTTTTATCAAACATATATTACTGTCAATTAAAATGCAGAATTATGAAAAACATGAAGAACTACATAAAAGACTGGGTGCAGGCAATAGGTAAGATTCTACTCTTTTCTCTAGCTGACTCCTCCCTGTACTGACATGACTCATGTCCACTCTCGCTATCACTGAGAGGAGTCTCCAGACTCTCCTGAGAGCGCATGAGGCGAGCGTGGGCACTGCTGGCTCTGACCTTCCTTCGCCTGCTGTGGCATCCTGCTCAGATGGGCAAGGTCAAGCACAGCGGAGACCCTGTGAGGCAGGGCCAGTGGCTCCACAGCATGCGCTCCCTAGCCAACCAGGAGGAGGTGTAAGAGAATTTCCTTTCGAATGTTTCATAAACTAAGGAAGCTGGTTTTGATAATGTCTGGCAGAATTTCTATCCCAAAGAGTTCATGAAGTACTATGCAAAATCAATTACTTTCTATTTAAGGGTTAAGTATAAGCTATTATACACACATACGAATTTAATTTTAATCTACTTTTAGCAACCAAGAGCGTGGCAATTTACAATAAATACCTGTATTAAATAATCATTTGTACTAGTTACTTGTGGAGAATGCTGGTATTCCTACCCAAGGATAATTACTCATCCATCATCAGTAGGTCATACACATTTGAGTTGTTCCTCCAAGAACAGAAACTAATCTAACTGAACATTCATACCTTTCCTCTCTTTCCATCCCTGCTCCACTACACACACACACACACAGACACACACACACTTCACAGAAATGTAAGTTAGAGTTTTCATTACAATGTTAGATTAGAAATTCGCTATCCCTGGATTTCTTGCTCATTGCCCTACGTCTCATTGCCTGAACATTTGTAAACCATTTAAACAACCTCGTTAGGGCAAAAACAACCATTCTACCTCTGCTATGATCATCACAACTGAACCATGATATACAAAGACTCTGGACAGTGTCCATCTGACTGAAAATCAAGCGCCCACCGGAAGACACCTTCCCGCCTGCCTTTAGAAGGAGGACACTCTCTCCTGTCTCAGCAGTCCACGTGTTGCGGAGACTGCTGTGTCTGTGCAGATTAATGCTGATGTTTGTCTTCTAACATTAAAAAGAAGAGGTAGAAAAGGGAAGGAGGAGGAAGCAGGAAGTAAGAAATATTTAAGGGCTAATACACAGTCTAAGGCCAAATCAATTCTTGAAACTACTGATTTTGGGAAAAAAACTTCATTTTGGTGGGTAACATGAATTATTCATATAAAATAAAATTAAGGCATACAGAGAAAAAGGCACTACCAAAAATGAACAGTTAAATTGCTTTTCATTAACATTTAACCGATCTTAAAATTCAAATAAATATGAACATTACATTCGTAACAAAGGTCAAACCCAATATAAAACAGGAAGGTCTTAAGAAATTGTTTGGATTTTAGTATAAATAACACTGTTGACAGAATTCAATTCCTATAACATTTCTAGACAATTTAGACCAAAATAAAGTTGTTTTTTTCTTTAAAAGAAACAGAAGGAAAAAGCACTATTTATGGGATAAATGCCCTTTATGATGGAACTGTCTGAGCAGAGGCTGGGTTGTGGGAGGGAGTCCTGAGAGAGAGCGGCTGCTGAACAACGGAGGTCCCTCTAATTTGGAGCTACTTTTAATTCATGTTGTTAATGACATTTTGGTTTGTAACAGCCAATAATTACCCAAAATTGCTATTTCCTTACATCACAAGAAACCGTAAGACTTTAAAACATCATTGCTGAGCTCTCAGAGTAAGGGTACTGTTTGCCCATGTCTCCTCCTAGGCTGGGATCTCCTTAAGGGTAAGTGAATTAGTACTGACACAGTAGCCACAATTACTGAGTGAGCAAATAAAAAAAGATTCACCTTATTTAAAAAAAACTGATAGATTACTATACTTGACTGACACCAGATGATTTTATATCCAAGCTATTGGTCCCTAGACCCCAAATGAAACCCCTGTCTCGGAACGCTGCCATGGGCCAAGGAGTTGGCATGTGGCAAACATCTTGGCTTTTGAGCCCAAGCGTGGTCGTCCCTATAAACTATTCAGATTTGATTTTCTTAATGACTTCACATATCTTATCCCAACTCCATCTCAGAAATACTAGAGATCAGACCTGACACATGTAAGAGGTAAAGTAGCAGAAAGCTGCTCTAAACTAATAATTTTCCTTTTTTAACATAGTTTCTAAAGAATAAGATAGAATCTCAAGTGAAAGCCAATTCAATTTACTCTAAAATAAGCTTTAATTTTTTTGTAGCTCATTCAACCTGTGCATTTCAATTTCATATAAATATGGGAGATTGACGATGCCTCTGAAAACTTTCTAAGGCAACAGTCTTTAACCATTTTTTCAAGTTAGAAATATGTTTTGTAAATGAGGAAAATGGAAAAAATGTTAAGATATTCATACAGAAAATTTCAAATACATTTGAAAGAATTACTAACCATTACTGAATTTCCATTAGTCATTCTATTTTTCAACCCTTTTACTCAATGCATTTCGTTTGCGATGTAAAATCTTCTACTTGGCCAAAACCTAGGTCCTGCCATCGTGACTCCCGCAAGGCCCAAGTGGAAAGACACTTCCTGAAAAGCACGGTCAGACTGCCCGGGGACCTCTCCAGCACCAGAGTCCGCCACAGCCTGAGCGCGGCATCGTGAAGGCACAGTCAGCAGTCTGACCCTTTCCAGCCTCAGCAAAGCAGCACTACCTATAGAAGAATGAGTTGTGCAGCTAAAAAATAAAACACATTTAGAGTCATCTTAAAAAGTTCAAATTTCATTTGTTGATCCATACCATTATTAGAAAAAAAAGGGGGTGGAGTGTTATATCTAATTGCCCCTGATAAAGGTGTTTTATCTCAAAAATTTCTTTTTAAAATTTACTTTTGCTCTTCCCTACGTCATCCCACTTCAAGCTTTTTTGTTCTAGTAGCTTTTATATATATTAACTTTTCTTGTGGTTTTGGTACCTTTACAATTTATTTAAAATAAATTCACATCACATTTTATATAATAACTCTGTAAACTATTAGTCTATTTTTAAGTCTTTACATAAAGAACAGTACTCTCCCATAGCTAATAATATTTTTCCTATAAAACAAAGGTCTTCTGCAGCAGTGTTAAAGTAGCAGTTTCTTTCAGGTGATTTGTTTTCTATGCATTTAAAAGTAAAAGGGAGACTGAAAAAAGCAAACAATTTTGCTTTGGGTGTCAGAATCTCCCAGGATCTCTCTCTAAGGAGTGTTGGTCTCAGATTCTGCACCACTGGTTACCCTGACAGACCAAGAGTCAGAAGGAAATCACAGCCACAAAGACAAAGAACAAAGGAAAAGCCCCTTGGCCCAGACACCGTGGTCTCGCTCCAGCATAAGTGATGCCTTCACCCGTGAGAAGATGAGAAACGGGACAGCTCCTTGTCCTTGGGGATGGCTCCCAGCACAGGGTGCCGCTGACCTCCAGGGAGACCACTGATTCATATTCTTCCTGGTGAGCCGCTTCCGTGGATTACAGGGTACGAGAATCTTGGTGTTTTGACTTCTTCTCAGACTAGCTAATAGAACTTCAAATTTCCTACAGGGAATGACAGATAGGACTTGATACAGTAAACCACAATCTAATGAACTTCAGAAACAGCTGAGTCGCTAAAGATCATACTTTTTAGCAGAAGATGAAATATCTGCATCCCCGATGAATCCCATAAAAGGCATCACATATAGGGCCTCCAGGAAGACTACTATGTTCTAGATCTTTAAACATAAAGCACGTCGCACTTGCTTTAATAAACTGGGAAATATTGCAAGTGGTCACATCACTGATATCATTCATATTTTTCAGTAGCGCCAGTCCATCAGGGATCATGGCTTCTCCTAGGTGTCTCCTTCCATTCAAAGTCCTTGCTCTTAGTGGACACATTGTACTAGAAATACCTGGCGGTTTTAACTTTCCTATAAAGTAGTTAAACCTTGTTTTGATATGCTTTGCTTTTCCCACGACTCTAAGCTGAGTTGAGGAAAGAATATATGCAGACAGCGGAGTTCAATGAGCTCTGTGTTTGAAGCCATTCCATCTCTAGCAGGGAGTTCCTGCTTTGGGTGCGATGTGCAGCTGGGAAGGAATGGGCTGCTACTGGTGTTGAGGTCATTCACCCTGACTTGAAGCAGTGGTACTTGCTCTTGTAAAACACTCTCTATGCATCCTATCACCTTCTCTCTGAAATTACTGTTTGCAAGGAACCTCTCTGTAAATGGCTGCCAGCAGTCTGTAACGGGCTGGTCTTTACCACAGGGCTCCTGAACTTTGGCACTTTGGACATTTTGAGCAGGATGGTTCTGTCGGGAGCAGGTGTGGTCCTTATAGACTGTGGTTTGTTTAGCAGCATCCCTGGCCTCGACTCACTAGATGCCACCAGCATCCTCCTAAGCTGTGAAGCCAAAGCTGTCTCCAGGCCTTGCAGGTGCCAAGAGAAACAGCCCTGCCCCTGGAGAGCCACTATCTTACTATGTTTGAGGTGGCTCAGTATTCTGTGATCCCAAGAACAAGGGTTCATCTCCCGACACTAGCTTCATGGAAACTCCAGGTGAAACTCTTAGTTCCTAAGAAATGTTACCCTATGGGGAATCAGGAGCTAGAAATAGGAAGATAGAATATACATTATTTTGGTTATTTCTTCTTTCTCTTAATTTTGGGACTTTCTCCCTCAGGTAAAGATCACACTTTAAAATACACTAAACAACACATACTTCTGCTTCTCATTACTTCTCTTGATTGGCAAACGTGGTCTTTTCTACTGTACACACATTAATTAAAGCAATCTCCTTTTGTCTTTTAATTTGGATTTGCTCATTGACTTCCATATCTGTTTTAAAATAAAATAGTATCTTTTTTTTAAAAAACAAACAAACCAGAAAACTATCCCACAAGGTTTTTAGATCCCAGTAACATGGATCTTCTATAGTGTATTTGCTTATTATACTGGTTAGGATTAACAAATAAACACAGTTCTTAGAGATTCATATTTTCTATCATGATTCCTACTGAGCAAGAAGCTTGGTATACAGAGGTTAGGATCTAAAGAATACAGATATAAGGAGGAACCTATATTCTTTAAGTTGAGTACCCACTATAGACTCAAGTTTAGGGCTCAAACCCACAAATGAGGATCTATTTTAAGTACTGTCATTAAAAACTACAAAGCAGATATCATTTTCTTCTCCTTGTTTCCATGTCTCTCTATCACCACCGATTTGCCGGTAGCTCAGAGAAAGACCCTCTAGTCCCAGGTATTCCAAATGATCTGTTTGTACTAGAAAGAGTGACCACGTACTAAAGTGCTTTATATGTCTGAACCACATCAGTACACTATAAAAATTTAAAAAAAAAGTTTCAAGTTCTTGTAAGGGAAAAAACGATTAAATATAAAAAATTTAGGTTACTATTATTAAACAAATTTAACCAAGAATCAAGAGAAACACTTTCCCTCTTGTCTTTTTCTCCCATCGCTCTTTTTCATCAAAAAGAAAAGTGCAGTCAGAGAGGAGGTGCAGGCAGACGGGCGCCGGGGCGGGGCTGGCTGCTAGTGACAGTGCACGAACAGGTGCCTCAGCAGCTCCTCCGCCGACGGCCGCAGCTTGGCCTCCGTGAAGATGCGCTGGAGGAAATCCCGGGTGTAGTCGGAGACATGAGCGGGCAGCTTGGGGTTTGTGGGCTGAGTGGCGATTTTAAAGATGGCAGCCATGGCTTCATATTCCGCCCACGGAGGCTTTTCAGTTAGCATTTCTACCACAGTACAGCCCACACTCCTGAAAAGGAATTTAAAAGTTACATTTACACAAACAAGATCATCATAAAGAAGGATAGTTACTACAAAATGAGAAACAGGAGTGAAGTCAATATACATTAAGTGTGATTGATTTCAAGTTTAGTTTCATTAGAAGGTTGTAACACTATATAACATAGTTTAAAGATAAAAATCAGTGAAAATAAACCACAATTTAAGGACTGACTCAAATGGTGAAGCACAAAATATTACTTTAAGAATAGCTGAATTATAAGAGACGAACAGTAAAAACTGATTACTTCTAAGTTCTTAGGGAAATGAAATAGTTTTCTAGTGCTGAAGATGCTTAAGATAAAACCCTTCGTCAAGAATGGAAGTCAATGATTAAGCTTCAATGAGGCATAATTAAAATATTCACCCTTGCAACTCTGACATCCTATTTCAAAAGCATGAAAGACCCCTGACACCTGGCCAGGCATTTGTACCCGCAGAGACAGGCCGTGGGCCAGCCCGCAGCAGACCTACCAGATGTCCGCTTTGCGGCCGTAGCCTTCCCCGCTGATCACCTCGGGGCTCATCCAGTAGGGCGTGCCCGTGACAGACTTCATTCCTGTCCCCGAAAGGCAGATTGTTTGAAGCCGTTTGCTGGCCCCGAAATCTCCTAGCTTGACATTGCCTGTTGAATCTCGCAGGATATTTGCACCTAAAAATAAGAAACATCCTCCTTGCACTCTTCCTGTCGGCAGTTTGGAGCGTATAAAAGGACAACAGCAGAGAAGTAAACGGAGCAGACTCTTCAATCTGTCTCCAAACTGCCGCTCACACCGCCAGTCAGGACAGTGCCCACGAAGGGCTCACTCACACACTGAAGACTGAGAACCAGGGAGTGCGTGAAGGCCACGCGAGGACAGGGAGGGTGGAGGAGGGGCAGCACAGCAGGCTCTGGGCCCAGTGTGTCTGTCCTAAAGCAAGAGGCTGCGGCTAAAGCTCATTTCCCTGAGGAGGGATGTCCCGGGGGACCCTCATCATCAAAACTTCTAGCACTTTCCTCTCCTGCTCTAACTTAGTATTAGTTATTTTATAGTTTCTCTAAATATTGGGTTTTGCTTTATATTGATGTTTCTTCTTAATTCCTACATATTTAAAATCTCTTCTATGCAAGCTTCCAGCTTTGTTTTTAAATTTCATTTACTTTTATAATAAACTTATTATAAACTGACTTTGATTGCCTAGCTTGAGGTGGTTGAATTCTGTACGGTGAAGTGCCCCTCCCCCTCGCCACGCTGTCCCGAGAGGCTGGCACACAGCCCATGAAGGAGTCGGCTGTGCTCCAGGCGGAGCGGAGACAGAATTACTGGGAATCACTCTGCACAGGAGCTGGTCTCCTCTCCCACCGGCTTCTTCGCCCATTTGTTTGCATCACTATGAACACAAGGATATTTATTTTATACTTTGGGTCATAACTAATGTGCCTTTTTCGTTGCTCACATTGTTCCAGCATTGGCCAGTGGAAACTCTTTCTCTCGGCTCCTGTGTCCCTTTGTCATAACCCCATCATTGTGTTCCTGGTTTTGGTTTGGCGTTGGTTTTTAGCATCTTCTTACTTTCGGGCACTATGAGATGCTCAAGGCCTAGAATCAGCCCTCTCTCCAAAGAGCCCTAGTTACTTTTATTTTTTTTTAATTTATTTTTATTGTTTCAAAGAGGAAGGGAGAGGGAGAGAGAAACATCAGTGATGACAGAATCATCGATCAGGTGCCTCCTGCACACCCCACCCTGGGGATCGAGCTCACAACCCGGGCATGTACCCTAAGCGGGAATCTAACTGTGACTTCCTGGTTCATAGGTCAATGCTCAACCATTGAGCCACACCGACTGGGCCCTAGTTACTTTTAATGGTATCAGAAACCAAGATCCAGGGGCTAGGTTCATTTATTTGTTATTCTCTATTTTCCCCTTTATTTATCATTTTAAAACTCAATCTTTTCTTCTGGAATTACAAGTATTGTTTCTGTCTTATGTAAATTATTTCTATTCTCATTTTTAGCTTTACCTATAAACTACCAGTTTTTAAATAAGCAATGTATTTTGACTTATCCAATTTTGAAACTGTTATTTTTAAAAAATATTTTTATTGATTTTGAATGAGAGGAAGGGAGAGGGAGAAAGAAAAACATCGATGTGAGAGCAGAACACGGACTGGCTGCCTCCTGCATGCCCTCCGAGCCTGCAACCCGGGCGTGTGCCCTGACCAGGAACTGAACCAGTGACCCTTGGGTGCACTGGGCAACAATCAACTGAGCCACAGTGGCCAGGGCTACTTTGTTCTTTTTAAGTCTTCTATAAACATAACCACATATTTTTTTAAGTGGGGGGAAATGATGAAAGGTCTTTTAAATATTTTCTTTTTATTGATTTTAGAGAGAGGAGAGAGGGAGAGAGAAACATCGATCAGTTGGAGGTCCACTGATCCCCACAGGACAGGCCGAGGGACCCCACTGGTGCACCAATCTATGCACCAGGCCTCTAGTTTTTTATATTTTTAAAAATCCTTTTCTTCCTTTTTTTTTTTTTTTTTTTAATGGCCTCTAAGGAGAGTGAGTAGTGGAGAAAAGCTACATCATAGACGGGAGAGAATGCATACTGTCCAGTCCCACTGTGAACTTCCATACTTGTCTCTGTTCTCCCAGCAAATCCCAGCCTGGTGGTGGTGGCTCTCCGCAGCTCTGCCAGTACCAGATGCCCTCCCAGCGAGCCACAGGCCAGAGGGAGGCACACACCAGCAGTCCGGCAGAACAGCACTGTCTACCCTGTTCAACATCTCCCTGTTCACCACGCAAAAAGGACTCTGTCAAAAAAAAAAAGCCACAGTGGAGAACCAAGATGGCGGCATAGGTTAACGCCAGAGATTGCTGCCTCGAACAACCACTTCAAAAAACAACTAAAAGATGGAACGGACATCATCCAGAACCACAGGAAGGCTGGCTGAGTGGAAATTCTACAACTAGGAGGAAAGAGAATATCATACCCAGACTCAGAGGAGGCGCAGTGCTGAAGTGAAATACTGAGGTGCGGAGTGCGCGCGGAGCGGACTGGCGGCGGAGGGCACGGTTGTTGTTTTCAATCGGGAGGGAGTTTCAGACTCTGAGCTCCAGATCCAGGCGAGTCTCTAGGGACTCAGACTCAAACGGGAGAAGCGGGACTGTCTGGCTTTGGTCGGAACTCAAAGGCAGCTTTCTCTCCCAGGTTTGCAGCAGTTGCTGAGACTCTGTGAGGCAGAGCCCCTAGGGACGGAACTGAGAGCAGCCATAATTGCTCGCTCAGGCCCGCCCTATAGATCCCCAGGGACCCGCCCCGCCCAAGCCCTGTGCAGAGCCATTTGCCAGATAGCCTCAGGCAAACGCTAGATTAGCACCGCCCTAGAGATCCAGCACAGAAGCCCTCCCACTGCAGACACAGTGGACTCTCATAGTCAGTTAGCCTGGAGGTCAAATCACCCCCGTATTGCCGACAACAATCAAGGCTTAACTACAACAAGACTGGGTACAAAGACCACTAGGGGGTGCACCAAGAAAGCATAAAAAATGCGGAGACAAAGAAACAGGACAAAACTGTCAATGGAGGATATTGAATTCAGAACCACACTTTTAAGGTCTCTTAACTGTCTAGAAGCCGCTGATAAACTTAATGAGACCCTCGATGTTATGATAAAGAACTAACTAGAAATTAAGCATACACGGACTGAAATAACAAATACTATACAGACTCCCAACAGCAGACCAGAGGAGCGCAAGAATCAAGGCAAAGATTTGAAATGCGAAGAAGCAAAAAACACCCAACCAGAAAAGCAAAATGAAAAAAGAATCCAAAAATACGAAGATAGTGTAAGGAGCCTCTGGGACAGCTTCAAGCGTACCAACATCAGAATTATAGGGGTGCCAGAAGATGAGAGAAAGCAAGATATTGAAAACCTATTTGAAGAAATAATGACAGAAAACTTCCCCCACCTGGTGAAAGAAATAGACTTACAAGTCCAGGAAGCGCAGAGAACCCCAAACAAAAGGAATCCAAAGAGGACCACACCAAGACACATCAGAATTAAAATGCCAAGAGCAAAAGACAAAGAGAGAATCTTAAAAGCAGCAAGAGAAAGAAACTCAGTTACCTACAAGGGAATACCCATACGACTATCAGCTGATTTCTCAACAGAAACTTTGCAGGCCAGAAGGGAATGGCAAGAAATATTCAAAGTGATGAATACCAAGAACCTACAACCAAGATTACTTTATCCAGCAAAGCTATCATTCAGAACTGAAGGTCAGATAAAGAGCTTCACAGATAAGGGAAAGCTAAAGGAGTTCATCACCACCAAACCAGTATTATATGAAATGCTGAAAGGTATCCTTTAAGAAGAGGAAGAAGAAGAAGAAGGTAAAAATACAAATTATGAACAACAAATACGCATCTATCAACAAGTGAATCTAAGAATCAAGTGAATAAATAATCTGATGAACAGAATGAACTGGTGATTATAATAGAATCAGGGACATAGAAAGGGAATGGACTAATTATTCTTGGGGGGCAAAGGGGTGTGGGGGATGCGGAAAGAGACTGGACAAAAATCGTGCACCTATGGATGAGGACAGTGGGTGGGGAGTGCGGGCGGAGGGTGGGGTGGGTACTGGGAGGAGGGGAGTTATGGTGGGAAAAAAGAGGAACAAATGTAATAACGTGAACAATAAAGATTTAATTAAAAAAAAAAAGCCACTGTCTCTAAAATATTTAGCCAGGGGAGGGCAAAAACAAGCCAAATTCTACTGGCCACAGCAGGGAGGCTCATTCCCAGGCATACCCCAGACAGGCCGAGCTAACTATGGGGAGGAATCACCACTGTGGCATCAATGCCCATTCATACGAAGGGCTGAGTGAAAAATATGTAACCAGGTTCTAAATATAGACTCCTACGTTTTCACCTTACTTTGGATACCTTAAAAGCAAACTATGAAGGAGAATTTTCAAACAAATATAAAAGCAGGTAGAATAGAGAAACCAAGATGGCGGCATAGGTAAAGACCGGAGTTTGCTGTCTCGCACAACCACTTCAAAAATACAACTAAAAGACGGAACGGACATCATCCAGAACCACAGGAAGGCTGGCTGAGTGGAAATTCTACAACTAGAAGGAAAGAGAAAAGCATACCGAGACTCAGAGAAGGTGCAGTGCGGAAGTAAAATACTAAGGTGCGGAGGTGCATGTGGAGAGGGCTGGCGGTTGAGGGCGCAGTTGTTGTTTTCAATCAGGAGGGAGTCTCAGGCTCTGAGCTCCAGTTCTGGGCGAGTCTCTAGGGACCCAGACTCATACGGGAGAAGTGGGACTGTCTGGCATCAGTCGGAACTCGAAGGCAGCTTTCTCTTGGAGGGGCTTGCAGCCTGTTGATCCCGTGGGACCCGCCCTGCCCAAGCCCTGCAGGGAGGCTTTTGCTGGACAGCCTCAGGCAAAGGCTAGATTTGCACCTCCCTAGAGATCCAGGAGCCAGGAAACCCAGAGGACAGAGTGGACCATCCAGTTTGCAGCTCCGTGGAACTATAAAGGACACACTCAGGGGGCAGACTCAGTGAGCACCAAAGCCCCATTGAAGCAAGTCTTGCCCTGGAGGGGTGTCTCCAGCACAGTTCTCCCACTGAAGACACAGCTGATTCTCACAGCCAATTGGCCTGGAGGTCAATTCCTCTCAGTGATGCCTACAACAATCAAGGCTTAACTACAACAAGACTGTGCACAAAGACCACAAGGGGGTGCACCAAGAGTGTCCTCCTCAGGTAATTGGTGAGGCTGAACCACTGAGCCCTAGAGGACACTGAAAGAAATAGACTTACAAGTCCAGGAAGTGCAGAGAATCCCAAACAAAAGGAATCCAAAGAGGACCACACCAAGACACATCAGAATTAAAATGCCAAGAGCAAAAGACAAAGAGAGAATCTTAAAAGCAGCAAGAGAAAGAAACTCAGTTACCTACAAGGGAATACCCATACGACTGTCAGCTGATTTCTCAACAGAAACTTTGCAGGCCAGAAGGGAATGGCAAGAAATATTCAAAGTGATGAATACCAAGAACCTACAACCAAGATTACTTTATCCAGCAAAGCTATCATTCAGAACTGAAGGTCAGATAAAGAGCTTCACAGATAAGGGAAAGCTAAAGGAGTTCATCACCACCAAACCAGTATTATATGAAATGCTGAAAGGTATCCTTTAAGAAGAGGAAGAAGAAGAAGAAGGTAAAGATACAAATTATGAACAACAAATACACATCTATCAATAAGTGAACCTGAAAATCAAGTGAATAGTCTGATGAACAGAATGAGCTGGTGATTATAATAGAATCAGGGGCATAGAAAGGGAATGGACTGACTATTCTTGGGGGGGAATGGGGTGTGGGAGACGTGGGAAGAGACTGGACAAAAATCGTGCACCTATGGATGAGGACAGTGGGTGGGGAGTGAGGGAGGAGGGTGGGGTGGGAACTGGGTGCAGGGGAGTTATGGGGGGGGGGGGAACAGGAACAACTGTAATAATCTGAACAGTAAAGCTTTAATAAAAAAAAAAGCAGGAAAAAAAAAGCAGGTAGAATAGTATATGTATCCATGCCCCTGCCCCACCTATGCTGCCAGCCTCTCCCTCTTCCCCCCTCATATTATTTGAAACAAAGGCAAGACTTCATGATCGATAGTTCATAGCTTTAAAAGATAATGGCTCTTATTACACCAAACAGGATGGACAATACCTCCTTAATAATGTTAAATATATACTCAGTGGTTTTTACATTTTTATAAAAAACAGAATCCAAATAAGGTCCATACATTGAGACTCAATGATTCATATTTTAAGCCTTTACTGATCTAAAGGTCTCTGTGATCTTTTCCATGGCACTTTAGGAGGAACCTGAGTTGTCTGCCCGTGGCTTTCCTAGTGACTAGGTCTTTGGACTCCATCCCAAGGCATCCTATTGGCCATGTTCGTCTGCTGAAATGTATACTCTACAATTCTAAAATTTGGTAGCTGAATCTAAAGGCTTGATCAGACTCAGATTATTATTACTTTTTGCAAAACTACTTCATAGATATGATGATGTAATCTAAAGATAGGAAGTATGTCATGCTCAGCTGTCTCTGTTTTAGATGTCAGCACCTGTTAATCTTTAATGCTTATACCTATTAATTCATTAGTGGTTATAAAATGGCACTATTCCATAATTCCTTCTTCATTTGTTAGTCAAAATATTGCTATAAAGACAAGTTCTCTTTCAACCACTATGTGGTCCTCAATGGTACAGTCAGTAAAAGAAAGCCAGAATAAAGGTACCCTGTTATGAAATAATGAGTTGATTGCCTAGCAACAATGATCAATTCGTTTTTATCCTAGGTTTCATTAAAAAGTCATCAACTATCGTTCTTTTCCCCTCACAGTTTAAAAATTTCTCACCATAAAGTTTGGGAAATATAGAAAAAGTAAAAACTGTGTCAAAGAAAACAACTATCACTCATCCTGCCATTTGGAAGTAACCACTGTCAATCATATGAACACTTTTCTTCTAGGCCATACTCTCACTTTACAGACGGTATTGCATCTCTAACTTACACCTTACTTTCCTCCTATCCCTGTATTTGTCCTATCAGGATTTTAAGTCAGCTTGCTTCCAGCCTCATCACTCCTGGTAAGGCCCATCTGGGGTAGCTCCCCTTGGTCCCTGTACCTCGTCTCACTATGAGCGCTAAAGAGAAACCAGCTTGAATAGAGATCATTCCTAAAAGAATAATTCCCCAGTGTGGTTCTTCAAGCTATCAGCTGTCCTTGACACCTGAGGCCTGCCTAAGCTGGGCAGATCGTGACATGAAAGACAGGCTCCTCTCTCCTCAGGTCATGAGCCACACCCTCCTTCTCTTGTATGCTTCATTCTGGTGCGATGGTCTGGCTCAATGTTCTGTAGCAGAGTCCACTATATCACTAGACACTGGTTAGCAGCGCTCTCTTTAGCCTGAATATGGCCACATTCGGGATGTGGCTCACCACAGGAAGGCAGTAAATACCTGGGTAGCATAACGCCTCAGTAAGACCAATAAAAAATGTATTTTTTATTTTTATTCATATACTAGAGGCCTGATGCATGAAATCTGTGCAAGAGCAGGCCTTCCTTTCCCTGGCTGCCGGCACTAGCTTCCCTCTAGCACCCGGGACCTGGGCTTCCCTCCGGCCACTGGCCCCGGCTTCATCCGGAAGGTCGTCAGAAGGAAGTCTGGTCTAATTAGCATATTGCGCTTTTATTATTATAGACTAGAGGCCTGGTGCAAGAAATTCATGCATGAGGTGGGGCGGGGGAGGGGGGGGTGTCCCTCAGCCCGACCTGCACCCTCTCCAATCAGGGACATCCCTCTCACAATCCAGGACTGTTGGCTCCTAACCGCTCTCCTGCCTGCCTGCCTTATTGCCCCTAACTGCCCCCCCTCTGCCCGCCTGGTCGCCCCCAACTGCCCCCTTCTGCCAGCCTGGTCACCCCTAACTGCCCCCCCACCCCCGCTGGCCTGGTCACCCCTTACTGCCCTCCCTGCTGGCCTGGTTACCCCCAACTGCCCCCCCTCCCCCCCGCTGGCTTGGTTGCCCCATGCAGCCTGCTGTTCAGTCATTTGGTCGTCCCTCACTAACCCCCCTGCTGGCTTGGTCACCCCATGCAACCTGCTGTTCAGTCGTTTGGTCGTCCCTCACTAACCCCCCCTGCCAGCCTGGTCGACCCACACAGCCTGCTGTTCAGTCGTTTGGTCGTCCCTCACTAACCCCCCCTGCCAACCTGGTCGACCCACACAGCCTGCTGTTCAGTCGTTTGGTCGTCCCTCACTAACCCACCTGCCGGCCTTGTTGCCCCAGGCAGCCTGCTGGTCATTACTGTTACTGTGACGGCGTCCTGGACAATTTGCATATTCCTCTATTATTAGTATAGATTGGTTGACTTAATAGTCATCTTTTAATCTGCGGTCACAACCCAATTTTTCTAGAACCAAGCTTCAGTTTTACAGACTCACACCTGCAGGTATGCTTTGCAGTGCAGAATTTAAGCACTCTCAAATTTTACAGATCTCCTCCACTCACTTTTATCTCACTTCATGCATTTACCTTACACACCTGATCCCTGAAAACAGCTGAATTTTAAAAATAGCTTAACTGAGTTGAAGTTCATCTGAGCTCAATCTCAGGCTCCCTTCCTCCTTCTTATTTCCTCCCTAGATAATAACACCCACTCCAAAGGCTTAAATTAATATGATCTCAACATGAAGTACATCATCACCATAGCTATCTGAATGCTTTCTAGACACCAGACACGGTTTTAAGCATATTATATGTGTCATCTCATTTAATCCTTACAGGAACCTTATGAGTTGGACATTAGCACCCTCGCTAAACACGAGGCATGGAGGCATAGAGGGATTGTGCGTGTTTGCAAGGTCACGCGATTAATCACGGATAAAGCCTGAATTTGAACAAAGCCATCAATCTAGTGCCAGAGACTTCTCCGAACCATTATATTCTAATGCCTATGCCCTAACATGAAACATGGTCACTCTTTATGGTCATTTGAACTTTACTAATTCTGTGAAGCCCGTAAGGGAGCGGCCTACCGTGGAGACCTGGACACCAGAACTTGCCAGAATATGACTGAATCCTACAGTATTTTAAAGGCAGCTGTACTGATTTAAACGTTAAATTTCTTAAGCGTATTACTCTTCTTATTCACACACAAAGAAAACTGTGTATTTAAAATGAAAAGACCTCATTCCTTACCTTTGATGTCTCTATGAACAATCATATTACTATGTAAATAGAAGACGCCTTCCAGAATCTGACGGGTGTATTTCCTAGTCACATTCTCAGTAAGAGCTCCATATGCTTTTAATTGGTCCTTAATTGAACCCTAAATGAAAACAAAAGAAAACTATGGTATGGTTTGAAATGAACCACTATATTACATCTTTATTTTTTAAAGAATCCTAGCTGAGTGGGAACGCATGGGAATTCTCAGGAAGAGCGTATATGCCATCTCATTTACATACAATTCAATTATATACTAGTATTCCCTGACAAGAGCTGTGGAAGAGCATGGGTCGCCACTAAAGGAAGCCTTTACAACGATTCTTGATCCTTGTTTGTATTACTATCTTGGCTCTGTCTCATATTCCTTGCAACTGTGTTTCTAAAAATTCTCTTGTACTTTCATATCGTTTTGCCCAGAATATATTCTTGCTTTTCCTACTTGTTCTTCTATATATGTCCTACTTAATTATTTATTTTTTTCTTCTCTGTTTTTAGAAGCATTTTATTATTATTATTATTTTATTTAGAAGCGTTTTATTGATATCTGCCAATTTATTTCTCAGGAGAAAGAATGGGTATGATTAGAAAATCAGAACACATTACATTTTCAAGTTTTTCCTTTATATACTCAACATGCTAGTTCAAAACATGAGAAAACATATTAAAGAGGAATTTCAAAGTGTCCTAAGTGTTTTTAACGCAGGACAAGGTGCCATCTTGGAGAATGCTGAGTCAGTCTGAGGTGAGACAGACACGTGAATTTTACAAAAGCTGCCCTAGTGGTTCTAATGTGCAAATCTGATGGATAACAAACACTTTAAAAGATGGAAAGAAAATGCTTCCTGAAGGACAGACCTTCTAAGATTTACTGTGCCGACGGCACTAGCGATCCATTGGTGTAGCTCTTTTATCTTTGTGTACCTTCTTCAGTAGGACAACTGGAATGGGTTGGGAAGCCCTGTGCCAGCTAAAAATTGCACGTGTGTAGCCCTAACTGGTTTGGCTCAGTGGATAGAGCGTCGGCCTGGGGACTGAAGGGTCCCAGGTTCGATTCTGGTCAAGGGCATGTACCTTGGTTGAGGGCACATCCCCAGTAGGAGGTGTGCAGGAGGCGGCTGATCGATGTTTCTCTCTCATCGATGTTTCTAACTCTCTATTTCTCTCCCTTCCTCTCTGTAAAAAATCAATAAAATATATTTAAAAAATTGCATGTGTGTATGTAAAATTAACAGAGATTAAAAACGAATGCTAGTCCAGGTACTGAAAATAAAGGTAGTTATAGTTCTAGTCTGAAAGTAGTTGTAGATACACTAAGGAATGGGGTGCTGTGCTTGAGAAAATGGAAGAAGAGATGACAATTTTGGCAAATCTTGAATCCAGCATGCTTAATTTACTGAGAAAAATTATATAGCATCATTCACAAACTTGGAGATTCAGGAAAGTCTAGGAACGTGTACCGTATGTCCAACCCATTGATGCGGTGGGCTTACCATATTTACAATTCATTCAGATTGTCAATTAATTATAACTAATTTGGTAATGAGCTTTTCAAATTTAAGGAACTGAAATCTATACTTTGATAAGACAGCTGCTTTTACGTGATCTAACACCTCTTCCTGAATAGTCCTGGTTTATCCTACGATTGCTAACTATATAAAGATTATCCATCTCTATTTGTGATATAAATCAGTTTTAACCAATTAATCATTTTAATTAATCGTATCTTCAACAATCTGAGTCTCTATTCACTGTTATTCATAGTTATTTCTATCTTAATTTAAATATTACACAAACAGTAATGAAAATCTGAATAAAAGAAAAAAGACAAATCACAATCCCAACATAACTCATTTTTCTAAGTTTCTCTGTCCTTGTCCAAATACAGACACTTTTAAAATATCATAATCATTATTTAAAAGCACTTTATATTATTTTTTTCTTTCTTATGTAAGTACTTCCTTCAACTTTGCCACAATTTTAATTTTTAACATTATTCTCTTAGACAATGCCATCATAATTTACTTCCACCATGGGCAATGAATTTCCATTTTTTCCATCACAGATCATACTAAAATAAATATATGCAGCTTTTTCCTTCTTTTGGATTACTTCTGTAGAATAAATTTCTGTGAGATGCCCTTGTGAGACTGAGTATGGTTAAGACCACTACTATCAGAATCTGGTCCAATTTTATGATCCATAAGCTTACCCTGCAGCCTTGTACATTCTACATATAATTCTAACAAACTATTCCCTTAAAGACCCATAAATCAAACCTTTTTTCTATCATATATGACTTATTAAACTATGAGAATGCATGTATTTTTAAAATAATTTTTTATTGATTTCAGAGAGGAAGGGAGAGGGAGAGAGATAGAAACAGCAAAGAAGAGAAGCACTGATTGGCTGCCTCCTGCATCCCCCTACTGGGGATTGAGTCCCCAACCCAGGCATGTGCCCTGGCCAGGAGTCAAACCATGACCTACTGGTTGATAGGTCGATCAATGCTCAACCACTGAGCGACACTGGCTGGATTGCATGTATTTTTAAATGCGTAAACATACCATCTTGAAAATCATTAGTATTAGAATGTACTCTACATATTATAAAAATAACATAGAGGGATGACTCTATGAATCACGTTTTGCAGCTCCTAATGAAATTATTTACTGAGACAATTATTATCAAACTGTGTTATAAACATTAGGTGATGGCTGAAAAGGAACTGTGTCTTCAGGAAAAAGCAAAACTTGACAATGGAAGAATCAGGGTATCAAGCACCCTAATCTAGCCATCAATCTTAGCATCACTAACAATGAAACAACCAAAAACTGTATCTAATGGGATGCAACATAAAGTACACAGCATGATCTATGGCGCATTCTAATAAAAAATGTTAAATCTGAATCTAACTTAGACTTTAGATCTAACCTGGAGTTTATAGAAAATAAGGGGATAAAGGAACCAATTATAAAATGCCATGAGGTGAGACTGTCAACAGAACAATAGCCTGTCAAATCTATGTCACATAAAACTGCTCTGGATTAAAAGAGGAGCTCCCGGCCAGCATGGCTCGGTGGTTGAGCATCGACCTATGAACCAGGAAGTCTCGGTTTGATTCCTGGTCAGGGCACATGCCCAGGTTGTGGGCTTGATCCCCAGTGTGGGGTGTGCAGGAGGCAGCCAATCAATGATTCGCTCTCATTATTGATGCTTCTCTCTCTCTCTCTCTCTCTCTCTCTCTCTCTCTCTCTCTCTCTCTCTCTCTCTCTATCCCTCCCTCCCTCCCTCCCTCCCTCTCTGAAATCAATAAAAACTTATTAAAAATAAAAATAAAGGAGGAGTAAGGGATACAGCAGCTAAATGTACTATGTGGTCCTGAACTGGATCCTGGTTTGTACAAACCAGCTATTATGAATATTTTTAAGGCTCTTAGAGAAATCTCAGTATGGACTATGATGCTTGTAACCTATTTTAGTATATATTAGAATTTTTAAAATGAGTTAAAAATACAAAGATAGATGAAGAAGATAGAAAATAAAATTGGAGAGCAATATGCTAAGCGAAATAAGCCAGTCAGAGAAAGATAAATAGGATCTCACTCATTTGTGGAATATAATGAACAACGTAAGCTGATGAACAAAAATAGATCCAGAGACAGAGAAGCATCGATCAGACTGTCAAACCTCAGAGGGAAGGCGGGGGTGGTGGTGGGGGTAAGAGATCAACCAAAGGACTTGTATGCATTCATATAAGCATAACCAATGGACACAGACAATAGGGGGGTGAGGGCAAGTGCTGGAGGTGGGAGCAGCCGAGGAGAGGTCAATGGAGGAAAAAGGGGATATATGTAATACTTTAAACAATAAACAATTTAAATTTAAAAAAAAATGAAGAAAATTATTTTTTACTAATTTAAAACTCTTCCAAAATTTCATTAACTAGGTATAACATTTTATAAATCAAAATGTTTTATTTTTCCTTCCTCAACTAAATCTTTAAATAAAATGTCTATTTTTTCATATGTTTTTATTGATTTCAGAGGGAGGAAGGGAGAGGGAGAGAGAGATAAAAACATCAATGATAAGAATAATCATTAATCAGCTACCTCCTGCAAGCCCCCTACTGGGGATCCAGTCCACAATCTGGGCACGTGCCCTGATCAGGAATCCAACCATGATGTCCTGGTTCATGGGTCAATGCTCAACCACTGAGCAACGCTGGCCGAAAGTATGCTATTTTGAAAGGATATACTAACTTACCCCTGGCATATATTCCATAAATATGGAAAGTTTTTTTTCCTGGAGATCCCTCAAACAGCCATAATATTGAACGATTCGTTCATGTAGTAAATTTTTCAACAACTGAATTTCACACTCAAGTGCATTTACTTCCTGAAAGACAGAACTCATTGTTAAATCTTTACAGCATTGTTAGTAAAGGTAAAAAATTAGAATTTCATTGACCATCAAGGTGATTTAATTCTGAAATTTTTACTTCCTAAGGAATAAACATTTTTAAGTCTGTAAATAATAACTGTTCCTTGAAGGTATGCTAAAGCCACACTAAATCAAAATGTAACTGAGCATTAAAAGAGAAAAATCCACAGTACAAAGTAGATAAACATATCTAATTATTGACTTATTTTGCAAATAATTTGTGTTAGGAAAAATAAACATTCTATCATGTGTTACATTTATTTTATTAAAAACACGTGTTTTCTGTGTGCGAGTCTTACCTTGCTGGTCTCAGGTCTCTCGGGGTCAAACTGAACTTGCTTAACAGCCAACTCTCTTCCTGTATCGACATCGTAACAGAGGTAGACCCTGCCAAAGGCTCCCTGGCCAAGCAGTTTGCCCAATCTCCAGTTTATTGGAGCACGAGGTGCTAAAAAAGAACACTTTCTTAAAATGGAATATCTAGATGGCACAAAAACAGTTAAGGACTAAATGAGTATGCTGCATTAGTAACATTCTTGATTGAATATGCTTGGGTGTGAGGAAAAATCACGGTCATCCAAGTTCATAATGATCATCATGGTTTGGGTTTTTTAAACATTTTCTTTATTGATTTTTAGAGAGAGAGAGAAATGTCGCTTGGCCACCTCCTGCACACCCCTACCTGGGAATGTGTCTTGACCGGGAATTGAATCAACGACCTTTCAGTGCACAAAACAATACTCAACCAACTGAGCCACACAGGCCAGCGCATGATCACCGGCTTTGAAAAACTGCCTCTTCAGTCAATTTTCTAAGAATTCTAAACCCAAACAAGGTTCATAATCCCATAACTCATTTTTTCCAATGCAATGAGATTATTTTCTTTCTTGGTTATACATGTAATAGTGTTATTTCACTCAATCTAAGATGCCACTGCTTGTAAGGTAGACTACTTATGATCTTTACTGCAGCAATATTTAGTCAGTTTTCCATCTGCCTATGATAAAGAAAGCTGGAAAGAGCCCTACTCTAATTCTAACAAAAGAAAATCTTGAAAACAGCCCGAGGGAAAAAAGCAAACTACAGGGAAACGAACAAAGACACAAACTACAGAACACTTCTCCTCAGAAAATATAAAAGCCAAAAAACTAGGGAGAAATATTTTTAAAGTGCTGAAAGGGAAAAAAACCTGCTTAGAATTCTACATCCAGAAAATAAAATCTTTCAAAAAGAAAGGAGAAACAAAGACCTTTTTCAAAAAAACAAAAGCTGAAAGAACTTATTACCAGCAGACTTGTATTAGAAGAAAGGTTAAAGTAATTATTCAAGCAGAAGAAATTTAATACCTGACAGAATCTTGGATCTACATAAAGATCTACATAAATAAACTGAAGGTATATATAAAAGGCTTTTTTTCTCTTATTTTTTAATCCTTTAAAAGACAGCTGTCTAAGGCAAATGTAGTGTGAGGGCATAGATGTAAAAGTAAAACATGATGACACTAGCAAAACGGGAGGAATTCAGAGAATGCAAATATTACTGCAATCTTTGAGCGTGCATCTTTGTATGCCCCGATTACATGATAAAGTTCAGATACTTCACCATCTGGCCGGAGTCACCATTCTAGTCCTATTCCAAGTAAGATATCGTCCACCTCGGCCAAAAACAAACTCTTCCACACGTTCAGAATATGCCCTGGCCTCTGCTCCTGTCACCTCCTTCCTGGTGAATTCTCACTCACACGTAAGATCCAGACTAAATGTTACCCTATGATTACTGCTCCAGATACCATTCTCCCTATTAGGCTATCACTGAGAGGGTGTATTTGAAATCTCAGTGCAGGAACCCAACACAGAAATGTGAAATGAATGAACGGATGACTAATCGATGACACTTCTCCCAATGAAAGAGGACAGAATCATCTAAAGTAATTCAGCAGCAATAACATGCTTTACCTGCCATTCCAATCACCTTTAGAAACACAACTTTGTTGAGAAGTTGGTCTCACTCTTGAGGACTGGCTTGATATTTATTCCTTTTAATACTATAAAATTCTGCAAAGGTTCTATTATACATTTCACTATGCCAATGACTATTACTTACAGCGGCTAGGTGGGCTGATGTCCATTACAGTTAAAGTAGGATTATCTATGTCACTTCCCCTTCTTCTTATTCGACTATCATCATACTCTGGGGTAAAGATACTGCTTCCACTACTAGTGCTTAAGGAGTGGTCAGTAGGACTGAAATTCACAGGAGACCGGAAGCTGGTCCCCTGGGTCCTTCTAGCTCTTGGAAAAGTTTTACGACCTACAAAACAAAAATATAATCACCTTAAAACTTTTATTAATATGTTGTAATTGAATGTTTTTAAAATTTGTAATGTAAGGAACAGAAATTTGTCCCATGACTAGGCTAAGAAACTGAAATAGCAATGATTATTTAATTATATGTTTTAAACCTAAAGTTAGTATTTTTTAAAGAGTTCAAGGAAAAATCCTTGTTAACAGTAAATCATAAAGTCAAAAACAAAAATACAAGGAAAAAAGGTGAAAGCAGAAATGAAAAGTAGGAGAAAAACAAACAGGATCTGAATACAAATTCAAATAATCTCAGTTAACACATATATACACACATTCATAAAAATCATAGAACTCTCACTTTGGGGTAAAAAGTAGAAAAAATATAATTTAGTCTCATTTCTAATCACGATTTAAAATATAAAAAATATTGGAAAGTTAAAGGTAGCAATATTTTTTTCCCTTAAAAGGGCCATGCAAGTATGAATTTTATGAAGGAGTAACTTTCTGAATAATATTTTTAATTATTCCCTTCCTTCTAAGGGAAAGATAAATATTATGAGGTAAGTTGGCATAAAACTAAGATGGTATTATAATTTTAGTTATGACCCAATTTAAAACTTTTTTAGGCAGAAAGCTAAATGATTGAGAAACAAGTTTATTTATAATAGTATTACTTAAATATGAAATTTTTATTTTTATTATTTTTGAGAATTTTCACAAACTGTTCTTATCTGAATGCCAGCAACTTACCATCATTATAGTCTTGATGGTGATATGAAACATGATACCTCCTTGGATAGGTTCCTCCTTTTCCAAATTTCTCAAAGATAGGGTTATCGTAGTCTATTGAGACACATAAGAAACTTATGTTATTAAGAAAGCCAAGTACTTCTTTCAAATAATGAAAAACATATTTACATATTTTGATTTTTTTAAAAATTCCCCTCACCTTTCCCGCTAAACCATTACTTAATAGCATAAACATTAAACATTTAGAATGTGGATAATCTAACCTGAAAATTCCTGATGATTATCTGGGTAGCTCTGTGCCCGAGGCATTCGTGATTTTGGATAGCTGTCTCTAAAAGTAGAAAATGTCACATTAAATTGAGAGAATGTAAATAAAACATTAAAAAAACTGTATGCAATATCAATATCTGTACATATGTGTGGAGACCATATCTATATGTATATAAAACCTGAATATGCAAATAGACCAAATGGCAGAACCGAATAACCAGTCACTATGACGTGTGCTGACCATCAGGGGACACGCAGGGAACATGGCAGGCATCAGCAGCAGGCGGGATAGTGGAGCAGATAATCAGGGGAGCCAGACCAAGGCAGGGCCCCAGTTGCTGTCATCAGGGCAAGCCTCTGGTGATACCTGAAAATTCTTTGCTCCCACACACCACAGTCCCACCTGGCACTCATACCTGCTGCCGGCGCCGACCTCAGCCCTACTTGCACCTGCTGCCAGTGCTGGAGCCACCACTCGCATCCGCTGCTGGTGACTGGCGCCAGTCCCAATTGCTTGGCGCTGTCAGCGGGTGTGAGTGGTGGCTCCCAGCCCCGATCGCCCCTCAGTGCTTCTTCACCTCCCTCTGCTCCTGAGGGGTGAACGGGGCAGCAGCCGCTACTCGCTCTCGCTGCTGGTGTTGGCCCTAATTGCTCCACACCATCAGGGGGTGCAAGCGGGGCTGGCGCCATCAGTGCACGGGAACAGCGGTGGCGGGAGCAGGATTGTTGGCAGATAGGGGACCAGGGGCCACGGCAGGAGGGGCCAGGTAGGGGCATGGAGGATGGGCCGAGACCTGCCCCTGTGCCCACCGCAGCCTCATGGCCCACAGTTCCTTTCAAGGTGCATGAATTCATGCACTGGGCCCCTAATGTACATATAAAGAAGCTCATTCTGAAATGTTAACATAACTCAAAAAAGAGAAACTTCTCCTTAAACTCTTATTTGGTCCATGCAGACACGAAGTGTGGCTTTAAAGATGAACCCATGAAGTTCAGTGATCAGATGATGTGCTTAGGGATCACAGGTGCTTGGGGATGCCTGTGCTTTATTCTTGCTCTGTCACTTCACTAGCTGTTGTAACCTTGGAATCACCTTTCTGAGACTGTTTCCACATCTATAAAAAAAGAGGTAATATGCCCTAACCGGTTTGGCTCAGTGGATAGAGCGTCGGCCTGCGGACTGAAGGGTCCCAGGTTCGATTCCAGTCAAGGGCATGTACCTTGGTTGCGGGCACATCCCCAGTAGGAGATATGCAGGAGGCAGCTGATCGATGTTTCTCTCTCATCGATGTTTCTAACTCTCTATTCCTCTCCCTTCCTCTCTGTAAAAAATCAATTAAAAAAAAACCCCCCTAAAAATAAACCACGCCATAGACACCTCATTAAAAAAAAAAAGGAAGTAATTTCTAACTTATCAAGTATATATATTTTACATTACTATTTCCCTAAATTTCTTAAATGTTTTAAATGGCTGTCTTGATGTAGATGCAAGCAAAGACAAAGGCTTCATGTACACAGGTAACAGAAAATTAAATGTCTGTTCCCTTACAATATTAGTTATATTTTTACAATAAAGATTTCAATAAAGATACTGACTCTGTGTGTCCTAATTGAAACCAGGAGAGAGGGAGCACTTGTAACAAAAAATTCACTTGATCCACCTTATATTCTTGAACAGCTATTTTACAAAACAATAGGACTTCAATTTTACATCACAATCAACACACTGGGCCACAACTACCAAGACTGTTAAGTTATTTATAATTTGGTGCCAGAACAAACATAATTCTAAACAGGTGAAACAACTCACAAAATCTCCAAAGGATTAATACAAAATTTGATAGCAGTTTTGCCAATACAGTTTTAAAAGTAAACGTACATAAATTCTAAGTTTGCATTTAACTTCAAAACACTATTTTGGCAAGCAGGAATACTCAAAATATTATAATAAGGTGTCAGTTTTAACGAATAATGATACTGAGTCCCATGAGGTTAAGGGATTTGTCTACACTATAAAAAAATTAATTTGCCATAAGTATGTATAGACAGTATCAATTACGTTCCTCTGAATGTAGCACAAAAGCATTGATAACTCAACATACTGTATATGTACGTATATGTATATATATGCATATTTACCCACATATGTTAAAAAACAAAAAATACAATCAACATTACCCATCCAAAGGACTATCAAGTGATGGACAACTTCCTGAGCCAGAATTTTCAGGGCTGCTTAAAAATAATGGGTCCAGCATCTAGAAAAATAGAGTTCCACCATGTGATGTGAAATAACCAGAAGTTACTGTTTTTTAAGAAACAGCTTTATTGAGATATAAGTCATGTAACATAAAATTCACTCATTTCAAGTGTACAATTAAATGGTTTTTAGCAAGTATACTGAAAGTTGTGAGACCTCCTGACAATCTCAGAACACCATCAGTACCTAAAAAAGAAACCTACCCAATAGCAGTCACCCTCAGAGCTACTAATTTTTAAGTGTTTAAAATGTAGTTGTCCCTTATAGGTACGCTACAAATTCAAAATATCCTAAGAGAAAAATGTTGTTTATCTATGGACTAAATAGTGAAAAGCTAAAAGATTTCACATAATTTTTCTTACTGTAAACTGAACAAAGGCCCCACCCAAATGAGACTAAACACCGTGAGTGCTGCATTATTAGAAAATGAAACTGCAATAGAAGCAGCCAATGTAACTTACAGAAACTGCAGGAACTCCATAGAAATATTTCAGTACTACACAACTTTTCATAACATTTTTTCTATTTTGTTCATTACATTCCACAAAAATATGGAACGCCCCACGAGTTTGGGTGTCATCCTTGAGCAGGGGACATGCTAATCTTCTCTGTATGGTTCATTTATAGGTATGTACTGCTGGAGTGAGCACTTAATAACTTTTTTTCTACATGTGCTTTTTAAAAAGATATATTTTTATTGATTTCAGAGAAGAAGGGAAGGGAGAGAAACATCAATGATGAGAGAGAATCATTGATTGGCTGCCTCCTACACACCCCTTTCCAGGGATCGAGACAGAAACCCAGGCATGTACCTTGACCAGGAATCAAACCATGACCTCCTGGTTCATAGGCTGATGATCAACTTAGCTACAGCAGCCCGGCAGCATTTAGAAACATTTAAAAATGTTTTAGAAAGTTGATAAACCTCATCTTCACAAAGTTAAATGTTTGTCGTTTTGACTATATCTTTTAAATATTAATTTAAAAATCTGAATATTAACCCCAGGATTATAAATACTGCAATCATTTATTTATGGATGGGCAATATAAAATAATCCACCTTATCGTAACTTTTTTTATGCATGAATGCACATGGGCACACATAGTGTAGGGAAATTAGGCATTTTCCTACACTTTTTACCATTTTGTTCACTTAAGGAAGATATGGGATTAAGAGGTGTAATACACACACACACACCGGCCAAACCACACTGACCTAGGCAATATCCCTTTAATAAAATAAGAAATCACATCCAACTCCTGCTTACTTGGTCCATGCTCTCTGGAATGAACTCCCCTTCACTGTGGATGCTGGTGAAGGACCCGTTCCTGGCAACCTGATGCAGTTCATCTGGAATGTATCCTGGGGGAGGGGAGCTTTGACCTCTACTAGTGGAACCTCAAAGAAGAAAATTATAGGATTTTATAAAGATCAGCATGTAATCAATTTTTGTTTTAATTAAATATACATAGAACTTCTGGTCTATATTACCAATAATGTTAGCAATTGAAACCCAGTTTTTATTAAAGCTTATCAAAACATTCCTGTCTGTAAAACTTCCAATATTTTTATACCTTTCTAACTCCCACCCTACTGTAATTATTGCCTCACTGTAATATTCATTCACACTTATTAGCTGGTGCATTCTTCTGGCTGCTGACAAAGCACTGTGGGGTTGCTAACACAAGAAAGCTTTCTAGATGAGTGCCACTGCTCCCAGACTCCGAGGCCACTGTGCCCAGGTGCTCCCCCCGTAATGCACGGAAGGCACCCTGATGTAGTGGAGAGAACATGGCTTCAGTCAGACCTCGTTTTGATGGAGGAAAATAAGACATTTTTTGGGGGGGGATAGCACTCTGAACTTGTGCCAGTAACCTAATGTACATTCTTGATAACCTATAATTAACACGCTTCGTACCGCTCAGTTTTCTCGTGTTTCGTGTGCCATCTGTTAAGGACCGCTCACGAGTGTTCTCGTGTTTCACGCCCACGGAAAAAGGAGCGAATCTAGATACTTATGTAAATTTTGTTTGGTCCCTCTTCATAGAGGAAAATATTTTACGCAGTAGCAAACAGTAGTAGTTAAAAAAGTACTAGGAACTTTAATTGTTTAATTGTTTTTGTAAATAAAAATGTTATAATTATTGAAAAACAACACCTAAAGTGCATTATGATGATTTAAATAACGTGCGGTTTGCCTAAAAACGTGCGGTCCCTGGCGTATGTCTCACAGATTTCTATGCGGTACGCAATGTGTTAAGTCACTGCCCCTTTCCCAGAATCTGGTCTTGCAAGACCTGAGGCCATAAATCATGAACAGCACACAGCCCCCAGAGGGGGGATTATCAGCGCTGGCGCCAGGCCAGGCCCTTAGGTATGGTCTCAAGACCCCAACACCTGGGGCTTTTTGCAAAGCCCACAAAAGGTCCGGACCTATAATCCATATTTGGGGGACCAAGACACCAAAAGGGGATAAAATAGGGGCTTCCACCATATTGGTTTGCTCAGAATTTGAGAGGCAACCTCCTCTGAGTCTGCCAGCATAACAAAGCTGTGTAACTCCATTTCTCTAAGCATTGCTTGGTTTTTCTACAACAGTTTAAATCCCAGTGATAGCTATTTGTCAGCTCTGTGTCTTTGGGAAAGTGACCCAATCCCCAGAAACCTGTTCCTCACTGGCAAACATGGGACTACATCCCTTCTCTGCAAGAGTACTGTGACTATAAAATCATTCATAATGAGCATATGCCTGCACATTTGGCTCCACAGTTTTCCTTCCATTCCCTCTCTTTAATCTTTAGAAACCGAAAATGAGATGACTTCTTAACCATTAAGCTTGTATGTTTTCAATTTGGAGTCCTGAATTTTATTATTGGGGACTTAAAATTAGGCTGTTGTTTTTGTGGCAAGCCATGTTCCTGAAATGTACATTTCTTTATAATTTAGAAAACTGGAGAATCTAATATAGTTTATCTAATTAATCACTTAATTTCTTATTAGACAATAATCCACTTTATTTTTACCTGGATGTACAGACACAATGTCATGTTTATTAACACAGTTTCTCTCTGCTCCTAATTTTTTTTTAAAAATATATTTTATTGACTTTTTACAGAGAGGAAGGGAGAGGGATAGAGAGTTAGAAACATCGATGAGAGAGAAACATCGACCAGCTGCCTCCTGCACACCCCCCACTGGGGATGTGCCCGCAACCAAGGTACATGCCCTTGACCGGAATCGAACCTGGGACCTTCCAGTCCACAGGCTGACGCTCTATCCACTGAGCCAAACCGGTTTGGCTGCTCCTAATTTTTTGAACTTAAACTTTAAAAAAACATATGGGGAAGTTATATGAGTATTAAAAGCTCTGGCCAGATTTAAAAACAAAATAGGTTTTACCTTACGTAAAGGGGTCATTGTGAGTATATGGCAGTATTTGTTGGTGATGAGACCCGGGAAAAGAGTGTGAAATGATTACCAAGAGATGTGCACAAAAGAGGTAATTTTCTAAACTGGACTCTAAAATGAGTAGGGACTCACCTCTAAGCCAGAGGCTGACTTAGGCTTTGTAACCACTATGATCACATTGCCCCTAATGTTCTTATGCCTTCCATATGCCCTTGATTATAGAAGACCAATATACTCATTACTAAAAGGAGACGGGGAAGAAAAAAAGACTGTAAAAGTGGCTTCATCTCCTTACTTAAAAACCCATTTTTCTTAACTTTTGTTAGTAATGGGTGTGCCAATGCAATCGTGGTCAAGACCTCCACACCAGTATAGAATTCCATCCCAAAGGAAGTTTTTCCTCTAGCTAGCTTTTATGAAAATAACTAAAGAGAATAATTGTTAGTAAATAAGGAAAGAAGATAATGGTCATATCTATCATAGCCATTCTGAGTTTAAAGAAGTGGCAAATGGAAGACCAGTAATTTTTTAATTTGTAATTTAAAATTTCTTATCTAGCAATGAAATCAAACAAGAATGTTTATTACAAGAACAACAGTTAGACATTCAGTACAATTTTAATTAAAAATGAATTGAAAATGTCAAATTAACTAATGCATTTAGCTTGTTCTGTCTAATGCAACTAAAATAAATTGGCAATGTTTGCCCTGGCTGGCACAGCTCAGTTGGTTGGAGCTTCATCCTGTACACCAAAAGATAGCAGGTTCAATCCTGGTCAGGACACATGCCCAGGTTGTGGGTTCGATCCCTGGTCAGGGTGCGTACAGCAGGCAACCGATTTATGCTTCTCTCACATCAATATTTCTCTCTCTCCCCCTAAAATCAATTAAAAAATAATTATAAATAAAAATAAATTGGGAATATTTTACTTTAAAATGATAGGTACTAAAATGTGATAAGGAAAGGGAATAAAGAAAGAAATGTATAATTACTAATAGTCATGCTTCCTAGTTTGAAAAGCAAAATGTACTTGAAAGGTGCTCTCTCAATTTACTGCTATAACAATCCCATAATTTAAAGTGGACAAAGTTACCAATCTCAGATTAATCAGAGAAATGGAATTGAAATGCGGGTATCCCTAATGTTCTTTCAACAGACTTTTAAATTATATAAAAATATAGCCAAATGAAGACGAACAATTTTTATTTTACTTGTGTATTTTCTTTGTTGCTCACATTTCAGCATTTCTGAACAGTAGAATTTATGTAAGATGATACTCAGAAGGACCAAAACAGAAGATAAGTAACCGCTATTTTTGGTGATTCACATGCTAATTTAATCTCTTCTCTTGTTATTAACAAACTAGGGGCCCGGTGCACGAAATTCGTGCACTGGGTGTGTGTGTGTGGGGAGTGTCCCTCAGCCCAGCCTGCCCCCTCTCACATACTGGGAGCCCTCAGGCGTTGACCCCCATCACCCTCCAGTCGCAGGATCGGCCCCTTGCCCAGGCCTGACGCCTCTGACCCAGGCTTCAGGCCTGGGCAAGGGGACCATCATATCCCCCCAATCCCTGGCTCCGCCCCCCAATCACCAATCACCGGATCGGCCCCTTGACCAGGCCTGAGGCCTCCGGCAGAGGTGTCAGGCCTGGGAAGGGGACCCCCAGCTCCCCGCGGTTGCAGGCTCCGCCCCTGCCCAGGCCTAACGCCTCTGGCCTGGACGTCCGGCCCGGGCAGCGGGGACCCGCAGCTGCAGCGGCCCTGTGATTGTGGGCTTCGCTTTAGGCCCAGGCAAGGGACCCCTAGCTCCTGGGACTGCCAGCTTCGACCGTGCCCAGCTCCCATCGCTGGCTCCACCCCTACTTCCTGCTATCACTGGCCAGGGCAGAAAAGGCGCCTGATTCTCCGATCATGGCTGGGGGGCAGGGCAAAGGCGGCCCCAGGGCCGCCTTTGCCCTGCCCCCCAGCTCTTAGCTCCCCCCTGGGTTTCCGATCACTGTCAGTGGCAGGGGGCTTCTTCCTGCTTTCCCTTTCGCCTCCCTGCATTGTGCCTACATATGCAAATTAACCGCCATCTTGTTGGCAGTTAACTGCCAATCTTAGTTGGCAGTTAATTTGCATATAGCCCTGATTAGCCAATGAAAAGGGTAGTGTCGTACGCCAATTACCATTTTTCTCTTTTATTAGTGTAGATGTCTTCTGTTACCAGTCTTAGATTCCCAATCACATCTCTTATTTTGTCATACTCTCCTGCTTCCTCCATATTCATGTTTTTCCTCCTCTTCTACTTCCCTTCAAAACCTTCGCTCAAATATGTTTTCATGCTGTCTTTAATGACCAGCCACTGCCCAATCTGCTAAACACATTTACACCAGTGGTTTCTGAGCAATGTATGCTCCTACAATATAAAAACGCAGCTTATCAGTGTTCCACACAAAGAGAAGACTGGGGCGCTCTGAGCACCTCTGCCCACCCCATGCCCCGCTAACAGGCCTCCTGTAAAACACGGCACACAGCATCCATGTCTCTTTGCACCACAGCTTGATTGTAACAGTATATCATTACTGAGAAATAAAAACTGAATCCTACTCCTATATAATAAAGGGCTAATATGCTAATTAGACCGAACAGCAGAAGGACCCTCCAGAGGAAGCCGAGGCAGCCGGGGCTGCAAGGGCCAAGCCCCTTGCACAAATTTCATGCATTGGGCCTCCAGTAAAGTAATAATAAAGCATAATCTAGAAACTCTTTATTTTGATAACATTCTTGACATTAACTAAAACTCAGAGAAAGGCTTATGAACGTAGTCCATCCATTAATTTTATTTTTTAATCCTCACACAAGGTCATGCTTTTAGAGAAGAAGGGAGGGAGGGAGGGAGGAGAAGTAGAGGACGAGGATGAGAAAGAGGGAAGGGGAGGGCAGGGGAGGGGAGGGAAGGAAGAGAGAGAGAGAGAGAGAGGGGGAGAGGGGGAGAGGGGGAGAGGGGGAGAGGGGGAGAGGGGGAGAGGGGGAGAGGGGGAGAGAGAGGGAGAGAGAGAGAGAGAGAGAAAAGAGAAAGATCAAAGTGAGAGAGAAACATTGATCAGTTGCCTTCCACATGCTCCCCGATGGGGGACCAAACCCACAACCAGGAATGTGCCCTGACAGGGAATCGAACCAGCAACCTTTCAGTGCAGGGATGATCCTCAACCAAGTGAGCCCCTCTGGACGGGCCATCTATTAATTTTAATATATGAAAATACTCCTTTTAATTTTTCCCTCCAGTTTATTTGTATAGTTAAAATTTCTTTGAGTAATTTGAATTTGTTCAACATTAAAATACCCTGGGGGTATATAAAGAAAAAATGTGTAAATGGGAGACTGCTAATCCTGTAATACTTGACATAATTTTTCAAGAAATATCAGATACTAGAACATAGTTAACTTAGATAAATTACAGAGAGTTAGAGATAGCCTGCTATTTATCAGGGTTATGTTTAGGATATATAAAAGGTTAGAGGAAAAAACTGAGAAATCACCCATTTCACGATTCAGATACTAGCTCTCTTACCTATTACAGAAAGCCGTTTTTTCCTCTCTGCTTCAAATACTGTGTTATCCAAATCATCTAGTGATGGCAATGGTTCTACATTAGTAGCCTACAGAGGAAAAAGGGTGATTAATGCGATTCTTCCCCTTTAAGGCTTAAACAGAATCCTAGATATTCTACATTGTTTGTGGGTCTTATCAAATCTACTCTTTAACATTTTAACATAATTCTTCCCAAGTTCTCAGTTTCTGCTAGTTTCATATGTACAATATATTACACTTGTAATGTTGGCTATAGAGTTCTGAGAAGTAAAGACATTAAACGATAGCAGTTACAATGTGTACGTTTTCTTTTAATCATATTGAAAATATATCAATAATTATAGACTGTAACTATGTTTCATATATTAATTTTCACAGGCACAAATCCTACAGTCCTTACTGACAAACAATCCCAACTCATACCTGTGTACTTCCATTTACCACAAGTAATATCTTGAGGCTCTTCATATGAACACTGCGGTCCAGCAGCTCCACAGCTTTGTCCAAGTCATCTTGAGTAGTTAATGGGATCACCAACTACACAAAAAGGAACATCAGGAATCATGCAGCCATCAAGTCCTTCCAGGACCATCTTATTCCTATGGGATTATAACTCAGAGCTCTCAGAATACCTGCCTCTTTGATTTGTCAATATAATGGAATTCCGAATGAATACATGTATCCAGACTGCTTTGCTCTTCCAATCCTACCACCACTAAAATCACAGAATAAACACTTTTTTTGCTTTATGAATCATTAAATTATTCTAGAAACACATTTAAAATTAATTATCTAGGATATTTCCATAATATTGCTAAACTTAAGTTATAGTACCTTCACTCCAAAACAGCATTAAAGAGTACACACAAAAACTATCCTATATAATAAAATCCTAATATGCAAATCGACCAAACGGTGGAACGAGGCAGCTCCTGTGTTGAGCGTCTGCCCCCCCCCCCCCGAGAGGGAGGTGACTGGTGGTGGAGCGGGCTGTCCAGCGAGCGCCCTGATGGTCGCCTCCACAGAGCAAGGCAACCAGTGGCAGTGATCAGGGGGTGGGGCCGGCCAGCAGGCTGTACCAGGCCCCCAGCCAAGGCAGGTGCCAGTGGGGCCCCCCCATCTCCCTGCCCGCCGGTCGCCACACAGATTGGCCCTGATCACTGGCCAGGCCTAGGGACCTTACCTTATATATTGGGAACAGTCTCTTAGATTTGAAAATTAAAACCTGGCAAGGCTACTGAAAAAAAACAGGATGATGCAGCGATGACATGCATGGACTCTGGCTTGCACATTTTGTGGCCAGCCCTGATTCTGACACTTATAACTGTGTGACAAAGACAATTACTTAACTTCTCTCTGCTTCAGTTTTTCCACCCATAAGATGGGGAAAATGGTACTACTGCCTCAGAAGGATCATGTTCTGCACTACTTTTTATAATCAGGGCAAAAATTGTAGCTGCCCATACAGCAGCAAGATGCCTTTCACCTGTATGAAAAGTATGGTCACTGGTGCATGCAGCGTCCCAGATTGCGAGAGGGATGTCCGACTGCCAGTTTAGGACCAACATCCCCCGAGGGGTCCCGGACTGCGAGAGGACGCATGCGGGGCTGAGGGGCCACCCCCTTCCCTCCATGCACGAATTTCATGCACTGGGCCTTTAGTCCTACATAATAAAGAGCTAATATGCTAATTAGACCAAACAGCCGGATGACCTTCTGGGCTGCAAAGGGCTGCGAGGGGCTGCGAGGGCCGGCCAAGGCTACGAGGGGCTGCGAGGGCCGGCCAAGGCTGCGAGGGGCTGCGAGGGCTGGCTGAGGTTGCAAGGGCTGAGCCCCTTGCACAAATTTCGTGCATCGGGCCTCTAGTATAAAATAAAAGGTACTATTATCTTTCACTGATGAAACTTTTAGTTCTTTTTTTTTTAATAGGAATGATGGATTTGCATTTGCACTGGCTGTGCTTATCTACATCCCAACACAAAGAGTATCTGTGACAGCTGCAATGGAGGGGCTCATCTCTCTAACCCTGGAGACTTGAACACTACACTCTAAACCAGTGGTTCTCAACCTTCCTAATGCCGCAACCCTTTAATACAGTTCCTCATGTTGTGGTGACCCCCAATTTCATTGTTACAAATTGAACATAATTAAAGCATAGTGATTAATCACAAAAACAATATGTAATTATATATGTGTTTTCCAATGGTCTTAGGCGACCCCTGCGAAAGGGGTTTGAGACCCAAAGGGGTCGCAACCCACAGATTGAGAACCGCTGCTCTAAACAAATGTAAGCTAAATAGTGCATCCTGAATGTGGAAATCGGCTTTCATTGGTCTCCTACTGGATTGGACATTATACGAGACAAAAGCCCCTGGGGAGTATCTGAGAACAAGCATGATACAATTAAACAAAATCAGAATACCTTTTTCTTTTTAAAACACGTTGCAAACTTAGCATAAGATGACTCTTTCAATAACCTTCAAAGTATATCCCATTTCATTAAAAGGACAGAATAAAAACTGTGAACATATCCCACACTTAGCCTGCTTTAACTAGCACAGTACATAAGCTACTCAAATGTAAAGTCCTAGTTAATTTTGGGTCCTAGCCTATATAATAAAAGCCTAATATGCAAATTGACCGAATGGCAGAACAACCGGTTGCTATGACACACACTGACCACCAGGGGGCTCAACTAAGGAGCTGCCCCCAGTCCACAGGCCAGCCAAGGCAGGTGCCAGCCCCCCCCCCCCCCCCCCCCCCCCGCCGAATCGCACCGCTGGTCACCCCGCAGAGGGGGAAGGTGGTGGCGGCAGGGGACAGGGCCAGCTGGCGAGTGGGTGGGGCCGGCCGGCAAGCAGGTTGGCACCGCCCTCCAATTGCCCCACCTGTGGGAGGCGACCTGTGGCAGCGGCAGGATGATCGGGGGTGGGGCCAGCCAGCAAGCAGGCTGGCACTGCCCCCCGCCCCCCCCGATCGCCCTGCCTGTCACCTCTAAGGCAGGTGCTAGCGGCGGCCCCCCGATCGCCCCGCCAGTCACCCCACAGATCGGCCCTGATCGCTGGCCAGGCCTAAGGACCCTACCTCTGCATGAATTTTGTGCACCGGGCCTCTAGTACAGTATAAATTCCTTGAAGACAGGGATGCCGCTCCGCCCCCCGCCCCCAAACACACACACTGCCAGTTAACATGGAGCACACAGAAGAGAGCAAACACTTGCTAAGTGTTGTTTAATAAGTATCACAGAGTGAAAGCTTCATCTGCACCCAAACACACTAGCTGATATGGTGTGCATTCATTCTCTACAGATTTATGAAAAAAATTCCTTGTTTTAAGAAAGGCTGCCGCCCTAACCGGTTTGGCTCAGTGGATAGAGCGTCGGCCTGCGGACTGAGGGGTCCCAGGTTGGATTCCGGTCAAGGGCATGTACCTTGGTTGCGAGCACATCCCCAGTGGGGGGCGTGCAGGAAGCAGCTGATTGATCTCTCTCATCGATGTTTCTAACTCTCTATCCCTCTCCCTTCTTCTCTGTAAAAAAGCAATAAAATATATTAAAAAAAAAAAAAAAAAAAGAAAGGCTGCCAGACACAAATACACAGGTCCGGATGTGCAGGACTGTAACTCTTGTTTATATCCATTAGCCTGCGGTAAAACTGGTTTCAATGTAAGTTGTTTTGCTTAAAGTCACAGAGCCTGTCGATGCTACTAAGTGAGGACTCATTGGACTGATAAGAAAGAATTCACCAGGCCTGCAGGGCTCAGTGGTTGAGCGTCAGCCTATGAACCAGGAAGTCATGGTTCCACTCCCAGTCAGGGCTCATGCCTGACTTGAGGGCTCGATCCCCAGTGGGGGACTGTGCAGGAGGCAGCCAATCGATGATTCTCTCTCATCACTGCTGTTTCTATCTCTCTCTTTCCCTCTCCCTTCCTCTCCAAAATCAATAAAAATATTTTTTAAAAAGAAAAGAATTCCATCATACAATCTGTTTACTTAATCTGTGCTTGAAATTATATTCCCAATTTCTGTGTGTAGCTAATTTTATACATTACAACTTATCAACTAGCCTGACCCTTTTTTTCTATGAGAAATTTTTTCTAATAATAATAAAAAATTAACTGTTTGGTATTATAGAACAAGCCTAATCTCCTTAAATTATTTTCATTATCTATCAATTATGAACCATATTGGTACATCTTGTTCCCATCTTTAATATTCTTTTTTTATTATATTTTAAGCACTAGAAAACATTTTAAAGAAATGATGATTGTTTTGGCAATTTTTCATTTGAGGGGAAAACCTGAACATTTACTTTTACTATACATTTAATTATAACTGGAATTATTTACTTCTCCATGATATTGTTGCTTTGAGGGAAAACACTGGTTTAAATTACAGTACCAAAATATTAAGAAAGTGATTTTGCTCTTTTCTGTTTACAAACGTGAGATGTGGACATTCTGGAGCGGCTGAATGGAGTGAAGCCTGGACTGCTGCTTGTAGTTCTGATGGGTTCCTTGTATGTTCTAAGGCCACCTGTTACAAATTTTATAAGTCTCAGCTTGTCTAAATTATATTAAATAAATCACCCAATATTTTCTTGCTTCATGAATTCAATTTAGGCTCATTTATGAAATCTATTTCCTTCTTGCTTATTATTGATAAACCAGTTGTGTTAATATTAAACGATTCTGGAAAGGAAACTAAAAACTGAGCTTAAAAACCCACTAAATAGAAACTAAATTTGAAAGAAGTGAATTATTTTCCTGACTTTACATAGTGAAACATGAAAACAGTCCATAAAAAAGGTTTCCAAATGGAAATGATCTTAAAAATCCATTTGCTTTCTTTTTTCCTCCTCTTTTAATCCTCACCTTAAGATATATTTTTATTGATTTTCAGAGAGAGAGGAATGGGGGGAGAGAGAAACCTTGATGTGAGAGAGAAACATTGATCGGCTGCTTCCTGTACTGTCCTGATCAGGGATCAAACCAGCAATCGAACCCCCAACCTTTTGGTGTACAGGACAGGACAACGCTCCAACCAACTGAGCCAACCAGCCAGCCAACTGAGCCAACCAGCCAGGGCAGAATATCCACTTACTTTATTTCAATGCACACCCCACATTTACCCCCAAAGCAAAGCACACAGAGACACCTGACACATTTGACATAAGCAGGAGCCCAACTAATAAACCCAATCATTGGCTTAAAGTTACTGGTTGTTTCGATTCTGGCAAGCTATAAGTTTATAGAATAATGGCCCTTTTGGAAAAAAATTTATATTGCACTAGAAAAAAAATATTTATAGAACTAAAATAACAACCGTATAAATAAATGGGTTTTTGCTTATCCACAGGCCAACAAAACTAATATTCCTTTTAAGTTCTTTCCTAGTGCCCTCAATGTTCAAGGAGGGGCACTGAGTTGGTCATGATGTAAATTATGACATGGCTAATTACAGAATCACAGATTCTCACAGAATCTGAGCTGCAAGAAAGTTTTAAACAATGTAATCTCATCCTAATGCCTTCTCTACCACATTCCACCCTGAGATAATGGCAGAACCACTCCCAAAAATCCTTCAGAAAGCATGAGGGGGGAAGTTTTTCTATTTTTAGAACATGGAAGAGGGTTCCTAAAACAACAGATCAATTAGCTTGATGTCAGTCCTCAAGAAAACCCTACAAAAATTTATACATAAACAAATTTGGAGAACTCAGAAAAGAAACAGTAATTCTAGGAACAAGAACAGGTACAATATGAAAAAATACTGCCAAACTAACATCATTTTTCTTGATAGACCTACTTGCCTGGTAGATCAAGACAATACCGTAGTTTTAATGTACTTGACATCTGAAAATTTCCCATGAAACATTTTAGAGCAACCAAAAACAAAGATGCATCTAGTTTCCCCTAGACCAGGGATGCGCAAACTTTTTGACTTGAGGGCCACAATGGGTTCTTAAACTGGACCGGAGGGCCGGAACAAAAGCATGGATGGAGTGTTTGTGTGAACTAATATAAATTCAAAGTAAACATCATTACATAAAAGGGTACGGTCTTTTTTTTTTTTAGTTTTATTCATTTCAAACAGGCCGGATCCGGCCTGTGGGCTGTAGTTTGCCCACGGCTGGCCTAGACCTATCGCCATGCCCCTGAAAAGCTCGCAGTCCCAGGGGCTGGCAGCTGGACATCAGGCCAGCACAAACAGAAATAAGTGCCAAGACAGGGCAAGGTAACAAGGTGTTCATGGCTAATAAAAAGCCAAAAAGTATCTGAAAAATAAAAATTTAAGGTGTTCAAATATTGTAGTACTCATCATTTTGTTCAGGTATATTATTTCTTTGAAAAGGGATTTTTTAATCAAAATACTTTGTTTTCAGTTGTTTCGTTAGAAACATTATATTAGCATATTCTTTTGCTTTAAATTAATTCATTTGAAAACATATTTTCAAATGTTTTTATTTGCAGAATGTTTCATATGTTTTCTAAAATTAATTTTTACTAAGCTTCCTGTAGGAACCCTGTCCCGAGTACACCGGATGTTCAAGGCCACTCTGAGCGTGGGAATCCTAATCAGGGTGTTCAAGGCTAACTTACTATAAGCAGGTGCAAAAGGACGCAGCAAGCTATACACTGCGCAGGCATGCCTGCAGGCTACTTTGTTAGCAATGGCTCCTGGGTTTGCTACTATATTAGCAAGGGTTACTGGGTCTACAATAAAGTCTCTCTTATATGCCTATGACTGCTCATATCTTTTCCATCCGATACCTGACATCCAAGGAGGTCCAGTCCCTGGCCTAGGGACTCGGACCCAAACCCTCCCCTGTCACTCCATTCCCACTGGGACTTCTATCCCTGGAGCGCAGAAGTCTTTTCCATGTTAGGGTCTGCCACTGCTCACAAACTGCTTTCTCTACCAAGAATGTTCTTTCTCTCAAACTCTTTGCAGGGTTGTCTTTTCCTACCTCAATTTTCAGTAATTAAACATTAGCACCTCAGTCAGGTCTTCCTTAGTACTATCTAAATAGAATACCTACTGCCCTTGCCTTTATTCTTTGTCACAATATTTTATGCATTCCCTTCAAAGAACTTAACATATTTAAACAGTTCATTTATTAACTGTCTGCTTCTCCTACTATAAGACTATAAATTCCATAAGGGGCTGTAATTTCTAACTCATAGCATTATGCCTGGCAAATTCAACAAGTATTTTCTGAGGTGGTAAACAAAAAAAATATAAAAGTACAAATTAACCGGTTAACTACATTGTCCCTGAAAATTTTAAGGTCTCAAGATCTTGAGATCTCTTCATAGGACCTGAAAGAAACCTCAGAGATCATCAAATCGAATCCAAATTTTACAGAAGTTTCAAAAGGGGTTCCCCAGAACACAGAGCTCCTCAGGGCCACAGCAAGCCCTTAAGATCATGTACCACTCCCAAATGTAAACATGATCTAATCATGTCTTAACCACCATGAAAATAATCCTCTAAGTTTTAACCAAACTCACTACCAAAGCTCTAATGTCTCTTAGGAAGTATAGAGCATGAGAAAAGATAATTTATCAATAAAGTACACAGAGTAAAAATAAAATATAAATAAGCAGCAAATGTTTAAATTATATATATCTCTATATATATTTCCTCCTTTAATAGATTCTCATTCTACTATTCTCACAGTAGTACCTTTTAAATATTTTAGACAATGGAAAAATCCATTTTAATTAAATTTACAAATTTGTGCTCTATCATTCCTCTAACATACCATATCTGCATCAATCCCTGAATAAAAACACAGCAGTCCTAAAATAATCTCTGAAATGAATACACTACTTTCCAAAACAAGAACAACTTAAAGTGAAACTTTCCATTTACCTCGTTATTGGTGTAATGGAGCTCCATGGACTGTCCAAAGGCAGTTTTAGCTTTCGACCTCAGATGTTCCAGTCTAACTGGTCTGGGGAACTGAAGGATTCTGTGTAAATGGAATTTTAAAACATCTTATTTTCTTAGGAAGAGTTAGCATGCCTCAACAGTTACCTTTGGATCAAGTGCACTAATTCTCAACACAAAGTTCAAAAACTCTGAAGTCTGTTCTATTCTAATACAAATTATAAACAGGAAAACCTCACAAGGCTCTGCAGTTTGTAATTTGCACTGAAACTGTTCTATGAGTATTAAAGGGAAATGTAAAATGTTCGCTGAAGAAAATAATTAAACTTAACTATGTGATATCCATACTATGAAATGGAAGAAAACTGTTAAAAAGAATAAAGTCATTCTTTGGGGGTTCAAATTTTGATTTCTCGTACCCTTATCAACTCAACATTTAAATATAAATATTTTTAAAGAATTAAAAAAAATTAATTCTAGTATTTCTTCCTATGTCGCAATGGATTGGCCTATGCTGCTCCCGGGAACATGCGCCTAAGCCTGGAAACCACTCTACTGGCCTGTAAGCTCTGTCAGGCAGGGACCATCTGCTCACTGACTGGTCCCTCAGGGCCCAGCAGATAACAAGCACTCAGTAAATAGTGCCCCATGAAGGAAAAAAAACACACTGAAAATACCCATAAAAGAACTGTAAGTAGAAAAAGCAGAATGGACGACACTGATAGAGTATATCTAGCATATCGCATTTTTAAAAACTATATCTCTGTGTAAAACATTTTACATCTCAGGTTATATGATTTATGAGCCTTTTAAAAGTCTTTAAATGGATAGATCTTTCATTAAATTAATGAGACACAAATAACAAACATGAAATCCCATATTCTCCAACTCCAAATCGTCTTGTCAATAATTCTGTTAACCATCCCCACCCACCTCTGCCACTGTAAGAAGATACAGACCCGGAAGAAGACCAGGCTGACCCCTCCTGAATAACTCACAGCTACCACCCCAGCTCATTCCCTCAGTGTCACTATTGAAGTACATGCTATATGTTGAGAATAATCCAAACTGTGAATGTTGCCAGCTGGCGTGGCTCAGCGGTTGAGTGTCGACCTATGAACCAAGAGGTCGCGGCTTGATTCCCAGTTTGGGCACATGATCGGGTTGTGGGCTTGATCCCCAGGGTGGGGTGTGCAGGAGGCAGGCGATCAATGGTACTCTCTCATCATTGATGTTTCTCTCTCTGTCCCTCTCCCTTTCTCTCTGAAATCAATAAAAAATATAAATTTTTTTAAAATTGTGAATGTTAAGTCCACATACATAATTCTGTAGAGTATAATATGATAAGGAGATTTATAAGAATATGATTATGATAAGTAAAAATAAAAGAAAATGGTAATATTCAAAGGCTGCATTATGTAATGATCTTATTTACTTTCGAATATTGCGAAGTAAAAACATTTATCTTTCTAATGTTTAGCCTGAATTTTGATAGTTTCTATCTTAAGTTTAAATACATGTTACACGTTATCAAGGACTATTCCATTCTCAATTTGTAAGCCACAAGCCTGCATAAAAATATAGAAATAACCTTTAATGGCTTTAACTAGAACACGCATTTAATTAAATTGATAATCTGAACTGTAATGTTTCTTTCCTTACCTTTTTTCTCCTCTATGTTCAAATTTGACTCGGACATCATTCTGTAATGAAATGATAAATCATTTCAGAAATCAAATAAAACTTTTTTTTTCCTTAGTCATGCATTTAAAACAGAGCAGAGGGGCCCTAGCTGGTTTGGCTCAGTGGATAGAGCATTGGCCTGCAGACTAAAGGGCCCCAGGTTCGATTCTGGTCAAGGGCATGTACCTCGTTTGCAGGCTCAATCCCCAGGAGGGGCCATGCAGGAGGCAGTCAATCGATGATGTTCCTCTCTCATAAATGTTTCTATCTCTCTATCCCACACCCTTCCTCTACTGTCTAAAAATCAATAATAATAATAATAATAATAATAATAATAATAATAATAAAACCGAGAGCTGACGGGGAAGGTTTTATTTCAGTATCAACTCCAATAAATTGATAGGGTCTGCCAAAAAGCCAGGTTGAGAATTATGTTGCTGAATTTGGGGTCAAGAGGGAAGATCAACAGGATCTGTTATGTAGCATCATGGGCATGAGACATTTGCTAATCCAGTTAGAGGGAAATTTAGCATACTGTATTTCTATTTTTTAGGGCAACATCCCAAACAAATTTTATCTATAAGAATCAAAATGGCCCTGGCTGGTGGTGCTAAATGGTTAGAGCCTTGGCCCCAGCACCGAAGGGTTTCGGATTCAATTCCTGGTCAAGGGCACATAGCTGGGTTGTGGGTTCGATTCCCACGCCCTGGTCAGGGCACATGCGAAAGGCAACTGGGGATGCGTCTCTCTCACATCAATCTCTCTCTCCCGCTCCTTTCTCCCTCCCTTCCACTCTCTGAAAAGCAATGAAAAAAATATTCTCTGTTGAGAATTAACAAAAAGAATCAAAAGGATCCTCATTTGTAAATATACAGAATAGATGACTTTAAATTAAAAAAAATGCTTATCTTATGTGCTTTAAGAATGGATGAAACATGCCTAACCGGTTTGGCTCAGTGGATAGAGCGTCGGCCTGCGGACTGAAGGGTCCCAGGTTTGATTCTGGTCAAGGACATGTACCTTGGTTGCGGGCACATCCCCAGTAGGGGCTGTGCAGGAGGCAGCTGATCGATGTTTCTCTCTCATCGATGTTTCTAACTCTCTATCCCTCTCCATCTCTCTCTGTAAAAAAAAAAATATATTTAAAAAAAGGAAAACAAAAAAAGAATGGATGAAACAACTTCAGAGAGCAGTTACCATATTAAATGTAATTCTACCATTTTTTAAACATACACTTATAAAAAATGTTTAACAAAATATTAGATTCAAAAGTATAAAAGCTAAATACTTTAAGCAAAACCTCTATAAGATCAAGATATTCAAGAAAAATAATTCACAGAACAATATAAATTTATTAAAATATTATTGAAACAAATACCTGTTTTTTTGGTGATAAAGATTTTGTTTTTCTGTTTTCTTGTAAGGATAATGCTGGTCGACTGGCTTTATGAAGAACAGCCAAATCTTGCATGATTGAGTTCAAAGCTTGCTGATCATCTAGGTATTTTTAAAATAACATAGTCAGACTTGTAATTTCAATATGTATTTACTACTGACATCAAACACAGAATTTATAATAAAATTTAATGCAAAAATCTAGAACATTTTCAATGCCTATGCTTGTTATTTTGGTGAAATAAAATTTCCATTTACAAACTGAAGAGCAGTAATGTTAGAATAGCACTGGACATGAGCACTAGCATCATACTGGGTGCCCATACATGAGATTTTTACAAGCAAAATAAAGTCATTCTGATTCTTCTAATGATGTAACATCCTAGAATATGGGTCGAAACAGCTTTATTATGACAAGTTCTTTTCTATGACACCTAAACAAAACATCACAAGACATCTAAAATCTTAAATAAAACAAGTGTGTGTGGGGGGAACTTTCTATAAATACCATCATTACTTAGCATTTCTGTTCAAAGTACAGAATTCCTTTTAGAGTTTTTCTCTTTCATCAGACTTCAAGTCAGAAATAACAAAAGCTTTGCCTACTGATTTTATGAAGTGTTTTCTTGAACTTCTTCTCCATAAGGTTCAATAAGACTACAAACATTTAAAGACTCTTTAATGATCTCAACCTGGAACAATTCAAAAGGTAACAATACAAGAAAAATCCATTCCCAAGGGAAAAAAACACTAAACTCATAAAACTGAGTGAAAGAATCATGAACCAGACAGACCCAGAACTCCCAAGAGAAGGCCCAAGGCCCCAGCTGGGACTCATTTGGGCACCTAAAAACCCCAAACAAGGTAGGGGAATCTGCAGATCTCTTTGTAGTTCCTGCTGGGTAGCCTCAGGAAGAGGCTAAATTAGCACCTCCTTAGAGATCCAGGAGCCAGTGTACCCAGTGGTCAGAGTGGGACCATCCAATTACAACTCCTCAGATCCATAAGGGACACACTCAGGGGGCAGACACAGTGAGCACCAAAGCCCCACTGAAGCAAATCTTGCCTCATAAGGGTGTCTTTAGCACAGAAGTTGTCCCACCGTAGACACAGCTGACTCTCACAGCCAATTGGCCTGGAGGTCAATTCCTCCCAGTGATACCTACAACAATCAAGGCTTAACTGCAACAAGACTGTGCACAAAGCCCACAAAAGGGTGCACCAAGAGCGTCCACCTCAGGTAATTGGGGAGGCTGAGCCACTGGGCCCTATAGGACACCTAGCACACAAAGCCACTCTACCAACACAGGGAAGCATAAAAAATGTGGAGACAAAGAAACAGGTCACAAATGACAGAAATGGAGGAAAACAAACGAATGGATATAGAGTTCAAAACCACACTTTTAAGGTTTTTCAAGAACTTTCTAGAAACCGCTGATAAATTTAGTAAGACCCTCAAAAAGTCTGGTGAGACCGCCGATAAATGTAGTGAGACCCTCAAGAAATCTAGTGAGACCCTCGAGGTTATGATAAAGGACCAACTAGAAATTAAGCATACACTGACTGAAATAAAGGATATTGTGCAGAGTTCCAAAAGCAGACTAGAGGATCGCAAGAATCAAGTTAAAGATTTCAAATACTAAGAAGCAAAAAACACCCAACCGGAAAAAAAAGAAAGAAAAAAGAATCCAAAAATATGAAGATAGTGTAAGGAGCCTCTGGGACAGCTTCAAGCGTACCAACATCAGAATTATAGGGGTGCCAGAAGAAGAGAGAAAGCAAGATATTAAAAACCTATTTGAAGAAATCATGACAGAAAACTACCCCTACCTGGTGAAAGAAATAGACTTACAAGTCCAGGAAGCGCAGAGAACCCCAAACAAAAAGAATCCAAAGAGGACCACACCAAGACACATCATAATTAAAATGCCAAGAGCAAAAGACAAAGAGAGAATCCTAAAAGCAGCAAGAGAAAGAAACTCAGTTACCTACAAGGGAGTGCCCATATGACTGTCAGCTGATTTCTCAACAGAAACTTTGCAGGCCAGAAGGGAGTGGCAAGAAATATTCGAAGTGATGAATGCCAAGAACCTACAACCAAGATTACTTTATCCAGCAAAGCTATCATTTAGAATTGAAGGTCAGATAAAGAGCTTCAGAGATAAGAAAAAGCTAAAGGAGTTCATCACCACTAAACCAGTATTACATGAAATGCTGAAAGGTATGCTTTAAGAAGAGGAAGAAGAAGGTAAAGATACAAATTATGAACAACAAATATACATCTATCAATAAGTGAATCTAAAAATCAAGTGAATAAATAATCTGATGAACAGAATAAAAAAAAAAAAAAAAAAAAAAGAATCATGAACCATAAATTTTTAATTTTTTTCCAAACAGATCAAAGATTTCTTCATAAGACTATGAGCATGAGCCTCCTAGAAATGCCAATTATATAATCTGGGAAACTTCGGGACAATATAATTGATTTTCACTAGTAAATCAATTCCACTAATAATAACCAACAATTGGTTAAAAAAAAAAAAAAAGGAATTCAGAGACTTTACAGCTTACATTTTAAAATGTAACCATTTTGGCCTGGCCAGTGTGGCTCAGTGGTTGAGCATTGACCTGTGAACCAGGAGGTCACAGTTGGATTCCCAGTCAGGGCACATGCCTGGGTTGCGGGCTCAATTCCTATTAGGGAGCATGCAAGAGGCAGCCAATCTATGATTCTCTTTCATCATTGATGTTTCTATCTCTCCCTCCCTCTCCCTTTCTCTCTGAAATCAATACAAATATATTTTTTAAAAAGTAACCATTTTGGTGAGTAATAATTTATGTTCCAAAATAGTAATAATTAAAACATGCTTTATCTTGTAATGAAAAATCATTTAAATGAATGTGGCAATTCAATGGCTTCATCGTCTTTCAAACACACAAATACCTGACTTCTTTAATGCGTTAATTTTTGTAACATTCAATATATTGTTTTGTAGCGAAAATATTTGCACATTAAAATGAAAATTAATGGCTCCAAGGGTTTTATTAATAAATTCCAGGTTTAGAGAAAATTTTATAAGTAACCTTTGTAAAATAAAATCTCATCAAAATGTTAGCTTAGCCCAAGAGTAACTGAGCCTATGGGTATAATATAATCACAACATGTGTACAGTCCATAGGTCCAAGCCAGACTAGGTCATTTATTGATAAAAATAAACCTTTCCTTAGAAAAAAATTAGCTGAGAATGATCTCAACTGAAACAAAATTATATGATATAACCTTCTTGAGAAAGGTAAGATTCTTAATTCTGTACTGGGTGAGGGGAATTCTAATACTTAAAACATATCTATGTCTTAATTACTTTCTTCATTAGAAAAAAACTTAAACACTCGAATTTAGGTATTTTTACATGTTTCATATCATAATATCAAAATAAACAAGTGGCTGGGGAGGCTTTGGCTTAAATCTCTTATCACATTTACATACACTAATTTCCTGGTTTTGTTTTTTAAGAAGTACTGTTTTCTATCATACGTGTACAAAAATAAAGAGGGCCATTTGAATATAAGTAACTTCTTAGAGCAGTAGTTCTCAACCTTCCTAATGCTGGGACCCTTTAATACAGTTCCTCATGTTGTGGTGACCCCCAACCATAAAATTATTTTTGTTGCTACTTCATAACTGTAATTTTGCTCCTGTTATGAATCGTAATGTAAATATCTGATATGCAGGATGTATTTTCATTGTTACACATTGAACATAATTAAAGCATAGTGATTAATCACAAAAACAATATGTAATTATATATGTTTTCTGATGGTCTGAGGCGACCCCTGTGAAAGGGTCGTTTGACCCCCAAAGGGGTTGCGACCCAGAGGTTGAGAACCGCTGTCTTAGAGAGATGACATACTAATAAAGAGCAACTTAATCGAGTTCCTTCTTTTTCTGGCTTGAAGAAGAATCACATGGTAGATAAATACCTGATAGGCAACTTACTTTGAGGAAGCTGACAAGATCTAAGCTAACAAATCCACAAAAGATCAAGCAAAGTGTGAGCAGAAATACACCACGAGCACTTTTCTAACAATTCTTAGACTGTTTTCCTCAAGAACCTCTGTGGTGGTGATCGGTACTAGACAGATAAGACAGGCTGTAACTGTCATAAAGATCATGAGTTGATCAGTAGGCAGTAAGGATAGCCAGAGGGCCCCACGGTTGACCGACAGTCACGCAGACGAAGCAGTGGGTTTCTGACACATGTTGAAAGGACATTTAGTTGAGCACAAAACCAGAATATATTTGGGAAATCATTTGAAGTAAAATATTTTATTAGGCATGTTTAATTAGATACCTTATATGCTTATTCATTATACTTAAAATAATTATAGGAGAATATCCTCAATAAAAAATTCAAATACCTGTGAATCATACTTTAAAATATTCATGTTTTTCTATGACTACTTTGGTATATGTTCTTAAGCAATGGCTGTTCTTTGTTTTGTTTTTTTCTATAGTATAATATTATTTGAGAAGGTAGAAATCAATTTGATTAACACACAGCCCAGATTGCAAGTATGACCAACCAAAATGAAAAGTTAATAGGAGTTCAGAAAAAGGATATCCAATTTAAAGCTGACAAAACTGGAGAATTTGGACCACACGATGGCACTGCACTCATGGTTACAGAGAGAAACCTCCATATTGTTATCCATAGTGGCTACAAGTTTATCATGAATACAGAAAAAAAAAAATTTCTCCCCTATTTTAACCTTCAATTGTAGACAAAAAATTCTTTAGTTTGAACTTACCCATCATGACAACCAGCTCAACAATCTGAAAATTAGGGAAATGGTTCTCCCATCAGAATTCTTTATTGCCTTAGGAGGTAAAAGACAAACATTAATAATAAGAAACAGAAGAGGCAGACACACATACACAAAAATACCAGTATTAAAACCACTAATGAGAAACATACAATATTAATACTTTATACATTTTGCTGAGAACAAGGTCCTTTATTTTTCCTAGACACTCAATTATTGAGAACAAAAAATCATTATTTTTAATTAAGTTTAACTCAGTATTTTTCAGGCTCCTGGCTTTTTAAGCTAAAAACAAAACCCAGAATTTTTTTTTTAAATATATTTTATTGATTTTTTACAGAGAGGAAGGGAGAGAGACAGAGAGTTAGAAACATCGATGAGAGAGAAACATCGATCAGCTGCCTCCTGCACATCTCCTACTGGGGATGTGCCTGAAACCCAGGTATATGCCCTTGACCGGAATCGAACCTGGGACCTTTCAGTCCGCAGGCCGATGCTCTATCCACCGAGCCAAACCGGCTAGGGCGAGAATTTTTGAGAATCAAAAATTATCTTAAAGAGATAATCTAATAAACTCAAATTCCTACAGGACAATGGCAGGCATGAAGATGAGTAAAACGGGTCATGCCTAGAGACGAAGAGAACCAAAAGCGAGGACATCAACAAACACAGTAAAGGCCTACAAAAATTCTCTCTTGCGTTAAAGAAAACATTGTCAGGATCAACTTTTTCAGAACTCTGAAATTAACCAAAGGCTTGCAGCAATCTAGGGAGCAATCAAGTATCTCAATAAAAAGAGAGAGATGGCGCTGGCTGGATAGCGCAGTGTGTTGGAGCATCGTTCTGAGGCACCAAGGTTGAGGGTTTGGTCCCTGGTCAGGACACATACAAGAAACAGTGAACACATAAATAAATGGAACAACAAATCGCGCGCTCCCTCCCTCCCTCCCTCCCTCCCTCCCTCCCTCCCTCCCTCCCTCCCTCCCTCCCTCCCTCCTTCAGAGCAAGCATGCAAGAGACCACCTTGTGGTGTTCTGACCCTCCCTACTCCTATCTCCCTACCCTCTACTCCAGTGCCAAAGTAGCAATGTACACCGACAGCACTCCCGCCTGTAAGCCACAGGAGAGGACAGAATGGGGAGGAGTGCCTTCGAAGTCCGATTCTCCCCCAATGTCATTATGTGACTTCCTAGTGGCCGGATGTGAGCACCACTGGAAAGGCTGTCTATTTAACCTGACTCCGAGCCCTTTCAATGCACAAAAGCTTAGGGTGCCTGTTCAAATCAATGAGGCAATTAGTGCATTATTTTAACGGTCTGAGAAAGGGAAAACAGTTGTGGGCAAACCAATCATTAAGAAAAATAAAGTTCTTTAAAAGAAAAGCTGAGGAACAAATTGTCAATAGAAAGCTTTGAGAAGCTCCAACAGGTTCCTGGGAGTCTAGAAGTCACACCAATGCCCAAGGCTGCTGCATGCTGAAGACAGGCCTCTGACCAAGGTGGAGGTGTAGCGAATGCTGAAGGCCAGCTTCAATACACACAACAGAGAGCTTCTCAAAAACGTTGTCAAACGTATTGGTTCCAGGCATCTAAGGAAGTGACTGAGCAGTCTTCAGTCACCACACACAACAAAGAATATGGACTTTAAAAACTTAGTTCTTGCCCAGCGGTGTGGCTCAGTGGTTGAGTGTCAACCTATGAACCAGGAGGTCAGGGCTCATTTCCCAGTCAGGGCCCAGGCCCAGGTTGTGGGCTCGATCCCCAGTAGCGGGTGTGCAGGAGGCAACCGATCAGTAATTCTCTCTCATCTTTGATGTTTCTATCTTTCTCTTCTTCTCCCTTCCTCTCTGAAATCAATACAAATATATTTTTTAATTAGTTCTTAAAAGTCACTAAATGAATAAATAAGAATAAGCAAACAAACAAAAAAACGGAGAGGAAAGAGAATATGATTTCCAGAGGTGGCACACTACAATATTTTAAATAATCAGTGTTCAAGAAAAAATCATGAGACATATAAGGACAGCATGGTCCCATATACAGGAAAAAAAGACATCAACAGAAAATGACCCTTAGGAAACCTAAGTTAGAGTTAGACTAACAAAACAAAGACATTAAATCAACTATTTTAAATATGTTCAAAGAACTAAGGAAGCCATGTCTAAGGAGCTAAGGATGTCTGAGAATGATTTCTCATCAAACAGAGTATCAACAAAGAAACAAAAATTATACAAAAGGAACCAGATAGAAATTTTGGAGTTAGAAAGTACAATAACTAAAACCATCAAGCATGCCAACAAATGCATAATAGGAATCCCAGAAGGAGAGGAGGAAAAGAAGGGGGCAGATAGAGTATTTTAAGAAATAATAGCCAAAACCCCCAAATTTTATGAAAAACAATGTGTACATCCCAAAAACTCAACAAACTCCAAGTAGGAAAAAAAATCAAAGTGATTCACACCTAGAAATGTCAATAATCACACTGTTGAAAGACAAAGAATCTTAAGAGCAGCAACAGAGAAGAAACTCATCATGTACAAGAGATACTCAACTGATTTCTCACTGGTAACCTAGGAGACCAGAAGGCAAGAAAATGACATTTGAAGCACTAAAGAAAAAGACTGTGAAACAAGAATTCTGTGTACAGCAACACCATCCTGCAAAACTGAAGCCAATATTAAGACATTCCAAGATAAACAAGCATAGAGAATTCATTACAACCAGACTTGCCTTACAAGAAATATAAAAGAAGCCCTTCAGGCTGTAATGCAAGGCCACTAGGCAGAAAATCCAATCCACAGGCAAAAAGAACACCAGTAAGGATAATTATATAAGTAAAGATAAAGGGCAAAATCAGCATACCTTTTGTTTCTAACTCTTCATTTCTCCTGACTGTGGTAAGTACAAAACTGATCCACCCTAAAGATTTCCAAGCACCAATTCCTAGAATTTCTGCATATAATCACTTTACATGACAAAGGAGACTTTTAAAATATGATAAATTAAGAAACTTTAAATGGGAAGATTATTTGGTTGGACTCCACATAACCACAGTGGTCCTTAAAAATGACAGGAAAAGCAGCAACATGGAATGGGGGGCGGGGGGGGGGGGGCGGTGATAATTCCATGGAGTGGATGGATGCAGGAAGCTTCTAGAAAGTGGAAAAGGCAAGAAAATGGATTCTCCTCTAGAACCTTCAGAAGGAACACAGCAATGCTGACACCTTGATTTTAGCCCAGAGAAACTAATTATAGATTTTTACTTCTAAAACTGTAAGATAATAAACTGAAGTTGTTTTAAGCCACCAAATTTGTGGGATTCTGTTATAGCAGTATGTAGGGAGTATTTAAGACCACCTCAGTTTCCTACAATCAACAAATCAATAAATGATAAGTGCTGGAGAGATGTGGAGGAAAGGGAACCCTAGTGCACTGCCGGTAGGAATGCAGACTGGGGCAGCCATTATGGAAAACAGTATGGAGTTTCCTCAAAAAATTAAATGTGGAACAGCCATTTAACCCAGTGATCCCACTTCTAGGAATATACCCTAAGAAACCCGAAACACCAATCAGAAAGAATGTTTGCACCCCTATGTTTACAGCAGCACAATTTACAATAGCTAAAATCTGGAAACAGTCCAAGTTGTCCATCAATAGAAGAGTGAATAAAGAAGCTGTGGTACATTTATACCATGGAGTACTATGCAGCAGTAAAAAAGAAGAATCTCTTACCCTTTGAGACAGCATGGAGGGGCCTGGAGAGTGTTATGCTAAATGAAATAAGTCAGTCAGAGAAAGACAAGTATCACATGATCTCACTCATATGTGGAATCTAATGAACAAAATAAACTGATGGATGGAGTGGATCCAGAGACACGGAAGCATCTCAGAGAGAACGTGGGGGGCAATCAACCAGAGACCTTGTATTCATACATGTATAACCCATGGGCACAGAGAGTGGAGCGGTGAGGGCAGGGGTGGAGGGGGTCGATGGGGGAAAAAAGGGGACATATGTAGAACTTTCAACAATAAAGACTTTTTAAAAAGGCCACCCCAGTTTCAATGAATTGCTAGAGGGACTCACAGGATTCAACAATGTTAGGGCTGATCATACAGACATATGATCTACCTTGCACATACCAAAATTTCCGATTCCCAGAATAACAGCAGGTGTTCAGCATAAACTATATTGTTTGTAAGCAACTTAGGCATAGTAAACCATTCTTATTAGTTAGGCAGGTGGGAACCCTTCTGAAATTCAAGTTCTCAGATGTCAGCCACGGGTGGACATAAGCAGTTCTTTCTAACGATAAGCAGTGAGGCCTGCTATGTTAACTCCTTCCTACACTAGCAGCAACAGGAAACTAATACGCACACAAATTTAAAGAAACTGCATAAAGCAATAATTGTAAGTGTGTTACTGGATATACAATATATAAAAATATAATTTGTATAAAAGCAACACCAAGAAAAGGGAAAAGATGAAGTTTTATTAAACATGTTTGTATACCACTGCAATTAAGTTGATATTAATTCAATCTACACTGTTTTAATTGAGATGTTAATTTTAATTACAAGGTTCAAACATTAAAAACTAAATGTAAAAAGTAGTAAAAGAAACAAGAGAATTAAAATAGCACACTAAAAATATCTAACCCAGCTGGCATGGCTCAGTGGTTGGGCATTGACCAGGAGATCACAGCTCAATTCTCGGTTAGAGTACATGATTCCAGTCAGGACACATGCCCAGGTTGTGGGCTTGATCCCCAGTAGGGGGCATGCAGGAGGCAGCCGATCCATGATTCTCTCTCATCATTGATGTTTCTATCTTTCTCTTCCTCTCTCTTCCTCTCTGAAATCAATAAAAATATATTTTAAAAGATCTAACACAAAAGAAGGTAGCGATAAAGAAATGAGGAACAACTTCAATAAAAGGAGCTGGGAGGAGAAACCAAGATGGCGGCATAGGTAAACACCGGAGATTGCTGCCTCGAACAACCACTTCAAAAATACAACTAAAAGATGGAACCGACATCATCCAGAACCACAGGAAGG